CCCGGAGCTGGCGCTCCCCCCCTCCCATCGCGTGCCGAGCGCCTCCTGCTCCCCCCGCCAAGCGCGCTCCCCCCGCAAGCGCCCGTGCGCCATGTGCCCGGTGCCAGGCCAGCCCCGAGCACCTGGCGGGCGCATTGAAATGCCCCCGCGGGCGCCATGGCGCCCATGGGCACCGTGTTGGGGACCACGGGTATATACACAGCTTTACTGGTACAACTCATGATCATTATTCTAGTACTGAAATTTATAGTGGAAAGCAATGAGAAATTTATTAATAAAAATTAAGATTGAAGAGATACTAAGAAAAAAATGAGTGAAAACAAACTGGTTATGTGTATAAACATGAAATGCAATCCTCCGTCTATCTACACTTGCTAATGGTTTTTTCCTATGTTGTAAATTATCTTTTAAGAATTTGTTCTTTGATAGAGCCGCTAGTTTTCAAACCAAACCAAGATCCAAATTTTCATGAGTATCCCAACACCCCACGAGGATTTCCACAGTCAGTGGATACCAAAATGACTTTTTGCAGCTTATATTCCCCCAAACTCCCTGTTTTGATCCCAGAGTCAGGATAACCCTATGTTGTTCCAGGTATGCTGGCTCCAAGTTGTCTTCAGACTCTTGAAATGCAAATGTGTAACTGCCATTATATTTGGCTTACAATGCTGTCTATGAACCTAGATAGACAGGAATGCACATCCTTTAGTAAGGCAAAACCAGTTTTTCATCTCTGCTGAGGAATAACACCTTGATATGCTCTATAAGGACGAATTTGAGATATACAGACATAGCTTTTCAAATATAGTCAGTATATACGTTTCACAAGAGTATTAATGTGCAAATTGATTGCAGCTTTCATCTAAGATATCACACAACATTCGTTATAGGTAAAGATTCTGACAGCAAAGTGTTCAGCCAGTGAGTTTGTTTGGCCTGCTAGCTATTGCTGTTATAGAACAAACTTAAAAAACAATTTTGTTAGTCTACATGGTAGCGTGAGCTTTCCTGGGCACAGCCTACTTCTTCAGATGACCGGAGTTTTGAGTTTAGGATGTGCAGATCCAAAATGAAGAGGGTGGAGAAGGAAGGAGCAGAGGGTATGAAAATATCAAAAGGAAAAACAAGTAGGCAGAACTAGCAATCTATAAGCACCTGAAGATTGGATAGTTAAAAAGAAGCAGATAAGAATCAAAGGAGAGCAATAGATAGAAAGTGTACTAATGCAAGAATCTATATAAACAAAGAGCTGTATGCACCTTCATTGATTGTTAGGTTGATAATGTCCTAGCCATCCCTCATTTCGATTGAGGCCATCACTGTGAGAATTGAACTTGTGGATTAATTGTAATTCCAACACCTCTCTGTGTATTTGACTTGTAGAATTGGTTTGTGACAAGACAGCCACTGTTATAGAACAGTGAACCCTGTTTCCAATTGGCATAGAGGAATTCTTAGGGTCATAAAGTGGACAGACAACAGTTTTCAGACTACCTGATTTCAGAGTTTATGCTGGTTTTTCACTCTTAGGGTAGGTCTACACAGCAGGGCTAAACTCGAAATAAGCTATGCAGCTTGAGCTACACTAATTGCGTAGCTTAAATCTAAATAGCTTGTTTTGGCTTTTGGTGCTGTCTACACAGCAGTTATTTTGCAATAGAGGACTCCTCCCCTGACTTCCCTTCTTCCACGTACAAGAGGGTTACAAGAGTCGGAGTAAGCAGTCCTCTAGCTCAACATTATTTTGACATTATGTTGAAATAATGCTGCTGTGTAGACATAGCCTGACAGACCCAGAAAGCTGAGAAACTTCAAGCACAGGAAGGGGAGTCTACCAGGTCATAGTGCACCCAGCCAATGGTTGAAACAGAGAAAAGTGGGAAAGCAATGTAATTGGCTCCTCTTTTTCCTACTGCTCTTGCCTACCAATCCTCTCCAGAAAATTTTTGCAATCTTAAATAGCTTCTGCCATCAGAAGTGCTGTTCTTACTGAAGAGATGCAGTGGTTAAAAGTTTCTTTCCACGAACATGGAACCTAGTGCTGGGGGAGAGAATTTAATGCAGAATTTAAATAACCTGGTAATGTAATAGTGAGCTAGTCTTTGGAAAGAAAACTTTGAATTATATGTACACATTGACGCATTCTAAGTTAACTTATCTCTAAGTGGCTCAGAGGGGTTGCCCGTGTTAGTCTGTAATTTTTTAAAATATGATTGGGTTCGCCGGGGGAGGGGAGGTATTGTGTGTCTCCCCCCAAAATAAGGTTGCCAGCCCCTTTAAGGCCATTTTGAATTCTGTTCTCCACGGCACACCTCCGACTGCCTCTTGGCACACCAGTATACCACGGAACAGAATTTAAAAAACACTGGATTAGAATAATAGAATACTAGAACTGGAAAGGACCTCAAGAGATCTTAAGTACAGTCTCCTGCCCTCATCACAGAACCAAGCACATCCAGCCTGTTATGTTAAATTTTTATTGGTTTGGCTTTCAAAACTGAATGTTTTAATATATTATAGAACACCAGTAAAGTTAACATTATTCCTAAACACACACAACATTTCTCTGTTTATCATTTCCTTTTTCTAACTGGTATTTAAGATAGTCAACAAAGAGGTAAATCTTGAGCTATAATTCTGTATTATTATTATTATTTTATTTATTATTCTAGAATAAATGTGAAGAGTGAATTGTTTTTGAAATTCTGAAACCAATATTATTGTAATTAATCCTATGTATATTTGTAATCATATAGGAAATTTTCCTATGATCAGTGATGACTTAGTCAATTCTTATCATCTTTTGCTATGCGCTTTGGATCTAGTGTATGGAAATGCTCTACAGTGTCCTAATCGTAGGGAGCTTCTGAATCCTAACTTTAAAGGTATGTAGAAAAAAACAGTTTTTCTTCAATCCAAGATAATGAAAACTAAAACTAAATCCTTTTTTTTTTTTTAGACTGTTTTGGGCAGAGACTAAATAGAATATTGGCTTGAGCTGTGAAGAGCACTAAACAACTTGAAACTATTAATTCTTTGCTCTCAATACAATTTAACAAGTTTCCATTATACAGTGTTCTCTGAAATAGACAACTAGAATTCATTAATGGTTCATATTGAGGCTAGGAATATCTTTTACGAAGAAGGCATCATTGAGGGAAGCTAGCAACCACTGCTTTCTCATTAAAGATAATAGCCAATGACAAGTTGTAAATTGATATGATAAACATGTTCGGATAATTAAATACTGAGATTTTCTGTTGTCAGTAATGTTTTCTTCAGACCTGTACTTCCTGTTTTCAGTGAAGAAGGTGTGTGACTTGTTTGCCTTTAACATTTTACTACATTTAGCTTAGTCTAAGCATTGGTGAGGATAGAAGCCTCTTCTTAGGAACCACTTTTTGCTATATTTTACTAATTCTTACACTTCATACGTATTTGATCAGTTTTTCATTAGAAACAAAATGGTTTTAAATGATTGTTATTACTTTTCTCTGTCACAGATTAAATGTGTTTACAAGTAGTGTTTGATAATACTTGTATTGTCAAATTAAATTTATAGTCTCAGATTCACCAATGCTTTTCAAGGTGGCTAATTTTTAGTCTTGTTAATTCTTTATATAGTTTAGTTATAAGGACAGGAATTTACATAACTAAATATCACGTTTTTCTCTTTAATTATAGGCCTTCCTGAAGACTTTCACAGTAAGGATTATAAACCATCTTCTGATCCTCCCTGCATCATTGAAAAGCTCTGCTCTTTACATGATGGTTTAGTTTTGGATGCCAAAGGCATAAAGGAACATTTTTGGAAGCCATATATTAGGAAACTTTTTGACAAGAAGGTTTGTCTAATAGACTTAAAGGATTTCTTGTAGAGTAGAAAGAAATCTGCTAAATTACTGTCTTTAAAATGGTAAAGTACTGAAATACTCGGCATTTATAGTAAATTTTCTTACAGATTTTAAAAGGCAAAGAAGAAAATTTGACTGGATTTTTAGATCCTGGGAGCTTTGGAGACAGCTTGTGAGTGTTTTGCATAAAACATCTTTGCAAATTCAAAACAAAAGCAGTTATATTGACACTGAATATTTTTATGTTTTGCACCACCGAGTGGTAATACATAAGCCAACTATTTAATATTTAACTGCTTGGAGTCCTGAACTAAATGTAATTCTCAGGTTATAGTTTTGTGATATCTCAGTTTCAGGCATATTTCAGGGCGAATACTACTTGAGGAAGAAATTATTTGCTGTGTTCCATTATTTTAGTATCCCTTTTGGTTCTGTACAGATCAGAGTACCAAAATGAGAGAGAGATTTCTTTTATTTGTGTTATCTAGTATACAGAGATAAGGTGTGGAATCACAGACATTATTCATGTTGAGAACAAGAATTTGGCTATATGAAGGAAGAAATTCTTGATGAAAAATCTTTTCAGAAAGACAAATGAAAAAATAATCTGACTTTTCAGAGTGGAGGAAATTTAAAACAGACATAACATTCATTTTAATGAACTTGCTGAATGAAAGTCTCTTGGAAATTAAAAAAAATTATACAAATAGATTTTAAGGCCATTTGCAAGCTAGATAATATTTAAACTGAAATGAATTTGACAGTAAAAGTAATGTATATTGAAAAGCTTTGCCAAAAATTTTATTCCCCTCAGATTTTCGTAAATGATTGCAGATATCTGTGTTACTTTTTTTTTCTATTTAGTGTTTGGCATGTGGCCATGCCTACTGGCAATTGTCACAGACCAATGCAATGGTTGTGCTAGATCAAAAGTTCTGTCTTAGTGCTGTCCCCATTCTCTCCAGCTGAAGAGCTCATGTTTGTGCAGAAATCCCTTCTAGGGTTAACTGGAAAGTGGTTCTGGGTCCAGAGGTACACAGGATACTGATAAGCCATTTTGAAGAATGGCAGGTGAGTGAGAGCGTGTTCTTTCCAATTATGAAAAGAGTTGTTTACTAAAATTTAAGTACATCGTTTCAAAATCATTTGTGAGTAAAGGTTCACAGCGTTATATAAGGGGGAAGCAAAAGTAAAGGAAGTATGAACAATAATGAGGATCCGAGTATTTAATTTTGGTATGTGTTTGAGAGAAGAGGTATCTAAGGTAGAAATTTCATACTTTTTTTTTTAAGACAACATAATGTGTACATCATGTATGAGTTACTAACATGTTTGTGTTTCTTGTCAAATGTGCATTTTCTTCATACTTTTGGGATATATTAAAAATGTTTTAAAATCCATTTTACAGAGTAAAACCATCCCTTGATTCCTCCACCAAAGAAAAAATTAGTGTGCTTTTAAAAAAAAATTGTTAGTGGAATATAAGGACGTTTTTTTAGAAAAAAGATGGAAGATGAGAAATTCACAGAGACCTAAGTATTCAGATTATTTATGCGCTTTTTAAAATTTCACTCAGAAGAAAAGCAATTTTTCTTTGAGTGCTTGCTCATGTCCATTCAGCATAGGTGCATTTGCCTGCCACATGCACTGGGGCTGGAAGTTTTTCCCTAAGCAGTACCTGTAGGGGCCAGGGTCTCAGCGCCCTCTGGAGTGGCGCACACATGCTACACTATATGGAACAATCCCTGGCCCCTCCCTCCTCGATTCCTTCTTGCCACCAGTGACAGTGCTTGGAACAGCATGCTCCAGCCTTAGCTGTAGCTAGTCTCTATATATAAAAAAATGTTTCCTGTGGGATGACAGAATGACAGGATCCCACACTCCAAGGCACCACAGTTTGCTCAAGGGCCAGGTTCTTGTGCCACTGCTGTTGTTGGTGCTCACGGGCTGCTTGGCCAGCAGGCTCAGGAGAAACACCAGTCCCCAGCTGTCCGTAGCTGTGCCCCGAGTGGCTGTATCCTGAGCCCAGCGCTCAGCTGCCCTGGTGAGACCCGAGCCCAGCCCGTCTCCCAAGCCTAGCCTGACTCCCTCCCGTCCAGCCACGCGTGGGACTGCAACAGCAAGCAACGCTTCTGCAAGGCTAGCAAGGGGGCTCCTGGCAGCACTGACCAGAGTGGCCCAGGTGCCCTTTGCCTGGTGCCGCAGCCTCACCCTCCCTCTTCCCCTGTGCGCTTGGAGCATCAGCTTGGCTTGCTGTTGCTGGGGAGCGGAGGGAGGAGAGAAAGCCCAAAGCCTCACTGCACAGGGAAGAAGCTCTCCCTGGGGAAACAGCAGCGCACTGTCGAGGCTTTCCCTGCACTCCAATCGACCAGATTCCAACTAATAGGAGCAGCGGAAGTCCGAGCCTGGGACTTCGTGGACCCTGAAGACAAGTAAGTGCCACCCACCATCTCGTGCCCAGACCCTGCACCCTCAGCCTCCTCGCTGAGACACCACACTTCCAGCCTGCTCCCTTCCTGAATTCCCGAGTGGTGGAATCCATAAACCAATGGGAGCACCAAAGCCAGCCCACCCCCCACCTCCAAGATTCAAGACTCCAAACAGTTAGACTTGTTGGTAGAAAGCTTTATATTTCAGCCAGTTTCCAACTCAGAGTAGTGAACCACCAGGCTTTGTTTGCCTGCTACAAGGTGAACATGTAGCAGGTATTGGCCAAGTTCGAGACCTCCCTTCCGGAGGGCCCGTGTAAAGAGTTCAAGGCCCTGATGGAGGAAGGCACTTCTGTGGCTATAGCAGAGCGGCAAGCGGCTTCTGATGCAGCAAACTCAGCAGCTTGCCCCATGGCATTGGCCATCTCCATACGATAGGTGGTTCAGCTCTTCCTTTTGGGCATTTCTCTGGAGGCACAGAACTCCATCCAGGACCTCCCCTTTGATACGGGTGCCCTGTTTTCAGGTCAGACAAATAATAGGGTGCATGGGCTTAAGGACTCCCACATTACTTTAAAGATCCTGGGAGTGAGGGGGGAAAAGTTTAAGCCTCACACCTATCAGTCAAAGAGCCATTGTCCTTGGCAGGGATACATCCCATTCTTGGCCAAAGCCCTTCAAGAGAAAGCAGGGCCTCCATCCTCTCTCTGGCCAGCTGTTGACTAGCCAGCCCAAGGCCAAGAGCACCTTTTGAGGATGTGCCCAAGGATGGCATGTTGGACTCTCTGGATCCTCCCTGCCTCTTTTCCTCCAGACTCCACCCTTTCCTCCAAGCCTGGAGGGGCATTACCTTGGACCGCTGAGTCCTGGCCACCATCCAACATGGCTACACCCTCCAGCTTTACTCTGCACCGCCTTCTCACCCACCTTCCCTGTCCCTCTTCAGGGACCCTTCTCACAAGCACCTCCTCAAACAAGTTATCCCAGTTGTTCCAGGTGGGAGTGGTGGAGCAGATACCGCAGAGTTTCAAGAACAAAGGATTCTATTCCCACTATTTCCTGATTCCCAATGTGGGTCTATGACCTGTACTGGACTTGCATGTCCTCAACATGTACTTGATCTGCCTCACGTTCTGCATGGTCTCTAGCCTCCATCATCCCTGACCTAGATCCCCAGTGCTGCTATGCAGCCCTTGATCTCAAGGACTCATATCACAATCTTTGAGGGTCACAAAAGCTTCCTGAGGTTCATGGTGGGCACAAAATACTACCAATTTGCTATCCTGCCCTTCAGTCTGTTAATGGCCTCCAGGGTTTTCCCTGAGTGCATGTTGGTGGTGGTGGCATACCTGAGGTGCCAGCATCTGCAGGTGTACCCTTACCTAGACAACTGGCTCTTCAAAGGTCCCTCATGGCCAAGGTCCAACACAACATGGATCTCCTTCTGGACATGTGCTGCTGTCTTGGCCTCCTGATAAATCAACAGAAGTCGTTGTTAGTGCCAACGCAAAGGATAGAATTTATTGGTGCTTTCCTGGATTCCATTCAAGCCAAGGCATTGCTCCCGCAAGAGAGATTTGCGGCCCTATCGACCCTTCTGCGACAATTCACTCACAGATCTATGACCCCAGCGAAGGTATGTCTGCAGATTTTGGGGCAGTTGGCCTGTACATATGTAGTGCCCCTTGTCATACTCAGAATGAGACCTATCTAGTTGTGGCTAGCATCTGTGTATATGCTGGCCAGAGACACCCACCGGAAAGAGCGGTGATGATCCTGCAACACGACCTGTGGACCCTAGAGTGATGGACCCTGAAAAAGCATGCCATATCTGGAATCCCTTTCCACCAGCAACCACACTTGAGGGAGCTGGTAGCCAGTGCTTCAGACTGCAGCTGCGGGATTCACATAGGTTCCCTTGGGACCCAAGGGGAGTGGTCCATGAAGAGAGGTCACTCTATATAAACATAAAGGTGCTAAGGGCAATCAGAAGTGTTTCTTCCTCACCATGAAGGCAAGGTGGTGTGCATCCTCACTGACAATACTGCCACCATGTACTATATCAACAGGCAGGGGGGAGGCCAATCCCCGGAGCTTTGCAAGGAAACAGGCACACACGCCTGCGTTGAATGGACATAAGCAACATATCTCAAAGAATACCAGATATGGAACAGGTAACAGTCTTTTTTACACCAGAATATTGCAGGCCTTGTCTTCACTACAAAATAATTGTTGTTCTTGAGTTAATGTGAGGTAAACCCTAGTGAAGACAAGGAACTTTGTAGTTTTTCACACGAATTATATATTGTTTTAAAGATGAGACTCCCTTATTGTCTTTAACTCAACCTCCTAACTTGTGTGAAAATTACAAACTTTCCTGTCTTCACTGGGATTTTACCTCACATTAGCTAACTTAAGAATGCTTTTTAGAGAAGACAAAGCCAAAAAAAGAGTGCTCCTGTAGTTCTGTTTTCTTGGTGTATTAAAAAGGTTTGCCTCTTTTCATGAAAAAGTCAAAGGTTTCTTTAATGTGAAGGGTGGGGGGGAGTGTTTAACTGGTGCCTCATTTAGAAAGGCAGGAGTTTTTGGAAATGCAGCCCATCTTGCAGCATACATATCTGTGCGAACTAACATCCCCTTTTCAGAGAGTGGGAGACCAAGATACTCAGGTACTTCTCTGAAGTGAACACACACAGTCACATCATCTGCATTTGATCTAATTATAGCAGGAAAGTAGAAGAGTTCAGGATTAAGGTGTTTTTCCCCATCTGTAGGCATGGATTATGTCCCAGCACAATTTAGAGCAATTCAGGTTATTCTATTCTGCTCAGCTGCAGTGAGCCCTCTGGGGACTTCTGTGGCGTTTGGGAATCATTGGAGTGCTGCAGCACTCTAGCCATGCCTCTGTATCATTTATCGGAGTCCACAAGATGAGGTGTCATAGGTCTGGGTATGCAAGCTCTTCAATATCAAGCTTTTCCTTACACTAAAGGAATCATTAGCCAGTCTGCAAAAGCAACAAGGAGTCCTGTGGCACCTTATAGACTAACAGATGTATTGGAGCATAAGCTTTCGTCGGCAAAGACCCACTTCGTCAGATGCATCAAGCGTATGCTCCAATACATCAGTTAGTCTATATGGTGCCACAGGACTCCTTGTCGCTTTAGCAGATCCAGACTAACTCGGCTACCCCTCTGATACTACTAGCCAGTCTGTTACATACAATTTGTTAGTAGCTTAGAGATTGTTTTGCCTTCTCATTGTACTGGCAGTGAGAGGTTCTCCTCATTTTGTTTTTTCACGAGCGACATCTTATTACTAATTTAATATACTCTTGATCCTAAAAACTATTCGCTTACATAGTTTTCATATTGCCCACTTCCAATTTATTTTTTTATTCTTATTTGGTGCTTATACTTCTGCAAATTCATATTGTTATCCTAAAATTATATGTATCTACAATTTTAGTTAACAACCTTTTTTATTTGGGTGGAAAACATGCTTTAAACTTATATAACATCCTGTAGGACTTTTGAAAATGATTTATTAGTGACAAATGTGCCTTCAAACCCAGAATCACTTCCTGATTGATGTTAGGAGGAACTTCCAGGCAAATCTGGAAAGCTGGAGAAGCTAAGATAAATCTAATTCTGCTTTCTGTTACTCCTGTGGCTTTTACTAAGTGACATATCCTCTTGTCAAACTGACTAGGAAACATAGGTATGTACTTTTGCTGCTGTTATACTTGAGGTTTATGTCATGATCCGTAGTATCACAAGTTTTAAATTAGGATTTAAAAAATCTTAAGTAAATTTCCAGCTCCCACAAGTACCAGATAAATGTGTAGAAAAAGTAAGTAATAAGTAATGCTTACCAGGTACCAGTTAACTGATGCTCAGGTGCACCCCCTGCCAATGGCCTTCCACAGGAGGAGCATTGCTCTAGGTTCTCAGGGGATCAGGAGCTGCCCCCACTCTTACGCGAGGGGGCTGGGAGCAGAAACTGGCCCGCATATGCTCAACTGCTGGCTCCTGCTGCTAATCTCCTCGCACGGGGGGACTGGCAGCAACAACCTAGACAGAGTGGGGAGGGGGCAGGAGTGGGATCCCATTTAATTGGTTAACTGGTTATGTCTGAGGTTTAACCAGTTAATTGATTAACTTGGATTTTACATCTCTAGTTTTTAGTACTTGATACTTTTATTTTCTGCTGTAGCAAAGCCATCAACAAAGCCTATGAAGAGTATGTTTTGTCAGTTGGAAACCTGGATGAGCGGATATTTCTAGGGGAGGATGCAGATGAGGAAATTGGAACTCTGAGAAGGTGCCTAAACACAGCTTCAGGGATGGAAACAGCTGAAAGAGTGCAAGTGAAGTATAACCTACAGCAGCACTTTGACAAAGTGAGTATGATGTGGTCTAGCTTACATTATGGCTGTTTTTATGTTTCTTCTAGTGGATGGTTTGAGTAAGGCTGCATCAAAGAAAGATGCAGCTGCTTAATAACTACCATTTTTTGTTTTGATCTGTTTGATTTACCTGTGCAGACAGCACAGTTATTACAATAACTGATTTATACATTAATAAGTATTTTTGGTTTACCTTTTTCTTTATTCAGCAGGCAGTATCAGGGTTGCCAACTATATCAGCTTTTATCCTGACAGTATTTTTACTCTCACTGATAGTTCTTCTTTTACTGATACTGTAAGGATGTAGAGACTTTTCAAAAGCTTCCCACTAATAAATCTTTGTGTAAAACAATCTTAATTTACCTTACCTAAATATAAACTTTCAGGAATCAACTCTCTGTGAGTGTGTCTGTTAAAATAAAATACATACTCACAAATCTCTCTCTATATAGATTAAAAAAAATCCTGTGGGACGACAGTGACAGTACATCACTCTGCGTCCACAGGAACAAGCCCCGCCCATTCCTAGCCTAGCCTGTCCTGTCCCAGGGCTCATGTGGAAGGCTGAGCCTGCCTGCAGCCTGGCCCTCCCCTCCCCTTCTGGCAGTCGGAGGGGAAAGCCAGGCCTGGTGTGGTTTGGGCCTGGCCCCTCTCGATGGCCAGGGGAAGAGCCAGCCCCGGTGCAGCCTTGGCTTGACCCCTCCCAATAGTTGGGAAGTGGGGGAGAAAGAGCCAAGTCTGGCCTGGGCAGCCCCCGGGCCAGGCCCTCCCCAGCAGCTGGGAGTAGGGAGGAAGAGCCAGGGCTGGGGCAGCCTCAGACCCTCCCTGGCAGTGCGGGAGGTCAGGAGGAAGAGCCCCGGACCCTTCCCAGCCGTGAAGGGAGTTGACAAACTTAGCGAGCAAGGGGCACAGTCCTGTTCTCTCTCCCCCTCCCCCTGGGTTAGTTAATTTTAAAATCCTTGTCAGTAACAGTAAAAAATTATCTGAGAATAATAAAAGTCAAGTGGTCAGGAGCCTTGGTAAAAGGACTAATAAAAGGAGTTTCCAACTGGAAGTAGAATAAGTGAAGGCTTATTGATGACTGAAGTGCAAAAGGAGAGTGTGCTTTACAATGAGAAAACATTCTGAAGTGATTCAGTCCTAGAAAGAAAATTGGGTATATATTATTTTACTTTAAAAAAAAAAAAAAGAATTACGTGCTCATCCGAAGAGTATACTAATACTCAATTTACACAAGGGATTGTTCTGAGGTTATTGAACTGAAATGCTCATGAGAGTTGGCTGGTAACTATAGAAGAAATTGTTTAAAGAGCTGAAAGGAAATCTTGTTTCATTAATGAAGACCACTGATAGGAAAATAAATGTTTGTTAAAAACAAAACAAAAACACCATTGGCTTAACAATCTATCTGCTCCTCTGTAGTTGAGCTGTTTCCTTGTTAGACCTCAACTATGGTGTGTTTTTATTTCCAAGTGGGAGTATGCTAAGCAGGGCTGAATGAATTGTATATGATTCCTTTCAAACTTCAGGTGTTTGCAGAAGTGATCCCCAAACATCAGACTGTTCAGTCAATGTCTATTCTTGTCTCCATTTGCACTACCTGTCATTCAGCTTTCTTATTTCTAGTGTAATGAGAGATGGACAATGCAGAGAGATGGACGATGCAGACAGAAGGCTTGTACTCTGAAATCATTGATGTCAGTGTGCATCTTCCCAATAGAAATAGATGTAGTAGGCCTTCTAATTCTCATCCTCAGTAGCTGTATATGGATGCATATTGTCTTGTACTTGTCATCTATTTCACAGGGCATATATGAGCATCACAGCTGACTTTACAGAACAGGCAGTGCTATTTGATACTGTGCAATCCTCAGACAGGTATGAGAGTTTGAGGGGGGAGCTGGATAGTCTTTTAAATGGCTTTGTTACAATACATATTTAAAAACAGTGACTAACTGAAAAGTTTATTATGTGGGGAAGTGGCGCATCCTTGATCTCTAGACTACAGGTATAGATCTCCATCTCTATGACCTAGGACCCCAGCACCTCTCTCTGGTTGGAACTCCCAGGTTCCTGACACCTTGCTTTCCCACTAGAAGGCATGGGTCACTGGAGTTGAGGTGCCTGTCTCTGTAACCTGCCAAAGTTCATCGAGGATCAGGTCACTTTTGGCTAGGTAAAAGCGACGAGGAGTCCTGTGGCACCTTATAGACTAACTGAAGTGTAGGAGCATAAGCTTTCGTGGGCAAAGACCCACTTCGTCAGATGCATCTGACGAAGTGGGTCTTTGCCCACGAAAGCTTATGCTCCTACACTTCAGTTAGTCTATAAGGTGCCACAGGACTCCTCGTCGCTTTTGCAGATTCAGACTAACACGGCTACCCCTCTGATATTTGGCTAGGTAGTCTCCCAGGTGTTGGTCCTCACCAGGACGGGATTTCTCCTTATCTCAGCACTAGTCTCCATTTCCCTGGGAACCACTTGTTAGCAGTGTTCCCTCTAAGCTGCGTAGCAGCACAGCTTCACAAGTGATTAATCAGCCCCACCCAATCGGTCTGCTCCTTGCACTTACTTTTAAGAAGGCAGGAAATAAGTACTACATTCCTGTGAAAGGGTTCAAATATTTGTGTACACAGCCTCCAAGTGGTTATGTCTACTATTAATGAAAGCAACAAGCTGGGCCAAGTCAAAAAATAAAGATGCTAGGAGAAGGGGACTTGTTTGGCAGGAAAATGTATTCAACAGCCAGCCTGCAATATCAGGTCTCTAAATACCAGGCACTGTGTGGTAGGTACACTTTTAATCTGTGGGAGTCCCTTAGCAAGTTCAAGGAGGCCCTCCCATAGGACCAAGCCCAAGAGTCTGCTGTGTTAGTGGAAAAAGGTACAATGGAGGTTAGGGGGCCCTCCATACTGCCTGGGACACTATGGATTTAGTCGCTAAGGTGGTTGCCTCACAGTGGTCCTGGGTGCATCTCCTGGTTGCAGTCCTCAGGTTTTTCCCAGGTTCTGCAGGCTACCATTGAGGACTTTGTTTGAGGGGTGGAAATCTTCACACAAGGCTCCATGGTCTTAAAGACTCTCATACCACAGAAAGCTGTTCCATCCTCCACTTCCTCTGCCTCCACAGTGTAAGACCTGGGGGATTCCCCAACTGAGCACCTACAGGACAAAGGATAGAGGAAAAAGTAGTGTAAGCGGTGACACCCATCGTCTTCCCATTTGCTTGCTCAGCCTGGCCCTTCCAGGAATCAAGGAGGCCAGAGGCAGGCATTTTGAGGGTGCACTCAAGAATGGCGCCTAAGTCATAGCCCAGGCTCCTCCCTTTTCCTCTTTTCAACTGCCTGCAACCCTTCTGGTTGGCCTGGTCATCACTGACTTTGGACTGTTGAGTTCAACGTAATATTTTCAGGTTACAGCCTGCAGTTCATGGCCAAACCTTCCTCTCCTCCTCCTTCCCCATCTCTCTTTAGGGACCCTGACAGCTTGCCTGCTGCATGACTAAATGTGGAGAAGTGGAAATGATTAGTTAGTGTCCAATAGGTCCTGTTCAGCAGCAAAAAGCCCTGCATCCACCACAGCAACTTATCTGGCCAAATGGAAGTAGTAAGTAGTTTACTTCTTGGACCTTGGATAAAGGCATTCAACCCAAGCAGGCCTCACTGTAGTTCATCCTGGGCTACCTTCTATATCTTAAACTCTAAGGCCTATCTCTTTCATCTATCAGGGTTCACTTAGCTGCTATTTCAGCCTTCTGTCCACCATTCTAGGTTGGTTTTCATCCAGGACATGACTGCCAAATTTCTCCAGGGACTCAAGTGTCTCTTGCCACATTCAGGGATCCTGTCCCTCTATGGGTCCTAAATGTTGTGCTGTCATGGCTCATGGGACCGCTGTACAAGCCTCTGGCTTCCTGCAGCCACACCCAGCTTTCCTGCCCAAGGTGGTCTCCATTTCAAACAGGCCAGGGCATTTATTTGATGGTCTTTTCTCCAGAGCCACATAACTTGAAGGAGGAACATAGGTTGCGTTCCGTAGAAGTCAGGAAAGCATTGTCCTTTCACATTGAAAGGGCCAAGCCATTCTGTAATTCGTCATAGTGGCCGACAGAATGAAAGATCATCCAGTGTCTTTTAGGTGTGTGATAGTATACATCTTTAATCGATGAGCCTTGGCTCATCGATTAACCTTCATGGTTATGCACAGCCCCCGCTCCCACCCCACACACGGTTGCCTCTGTGCAGGTGGGAGACAGTGCTCAGAGGAACCTGTCTTTTCAGCAATGTGGGGACGGGTGGGGGGGGGGCGCAGTAAATCAGCAGTTACACGTTTCCCGAAATAAACACATTTTCACATTCCTAAAGTCTATTCAAATAATTTCTTGGCTCCGTGGGTGTATTTGCTGCTGCTGCGATGAAGAAGAAGGTGCTCCAGTGATTATAACAGTCTATGCAGGCCTTTTTGGCAGCTTTCCTAGCCCAAGTGCCTATCCAGGACATCTTTAGGGTGGCCACCTAGTCATCTGTCCATATGTTCACATGCCATTATGCGCTTTCCCAGGAGGCCTGAGAGGATGTGATAACTTTGGTAGAGCAGTGCTGCGATCTGCAAGATCATGAATTCTGAGCCCATATCCGAGAATACTGCTTGTAAGTCACCTAGAATGAAATCAACGTGAGCAAGCACTGGAAGAAGAAAAGACAGCTACCCGCCTTTTTGTAAGTGTTTAAGATGTGCTGCTCATGTCCATTTCATTACTCATCCTCCTGCCCCTCTGTTGGAGTTGCAGCAGGAAGGATTAGAGAAGGTGTAATACTGATGCCAACTAATATACCAGTGCATGAGTGCCGCACTCAAGGCACCACAGCTGACCCTACAAATACAACTAAGGCAAAAATCTCTGATGACTGTGCACGTGGGCGCACATGCACCTAGAATGAAATGGACATGAGCAGCACATCTCGTAGAACAACTGTTGCAAAAATGTAGGTGATCAGGGGTTTTCGTTTTGTGTGTGGTCTTCAAATATGCTGTGGATGAGTGCTGATCAGAATATTTGTCTGTCATTTTGGCAAGTGAAGATGGGAATATAGGCCAGGGAGACATAAAAGGGAGAAGGCAGAAGAGCATCAGAGATAGTAGAGGAGGAAAAGTCATTGGGAAGTGGCTTATTTTAACTGTTTTTTTTTTCTAATCTGTAATGAAGCTGAGTACCATGGATCAATTTGATCACTCTTTGGAGCTGGGACTGAATTTTGTTCTATATTTGTACAGTGCATAGCACAGTGGGGAGATAATGTATGACTAGGGCTCCTAAGAACTATAATAATGAAATTATCCTCTTCAAAAATTATTTACCAAAGGCAAAATAAGGTTAGGATGTTCATGAGTAGAAAAGTCATGCAAAGAGCTTTAGAGCCTAAATTTGTTTCTGTATTTTGTTTTGGTACACACTTCACTTCTTCGGATGGCTGATGTCCAGCCAACCTGACCTAAAATACTAGTGAGCATGTAGGCAAAAAATGTATTAGCTTTTATTAAATAGAGCATGTTCAAAGTATAAGAAGAAATTTAACTGACCACCCTGCATCAAGTGGAGAAATACACACAGAAGTACGTTTGATGTCTGAAGTGTGGTTGGAGTCTTGCCGACTACTTAAGCTCCATAGGAGAAACCATATTTCTTATTCACCTTACTCACTTTGAAAGCAACCCATGGGATCTTCTGTTTGAAATAAAAGGCCTTAGCTAGGAGTACTTGAGAAATTATTGCTTGGAAGTGAATTTAATGCATAGTGAAATTCTCAGTGTAAGAAAACTCTTCTGACATATGAAATGTTAGTTCTCCTTTTCTCATGCTGTTACCTAGCATTTCTTGCATATATGGTGCAATTTTATAACAATCTGATATGCAATCTTTCAATTTTTGTCTTTTAGACTAAATCGCTTAGAATTACAACCCCTCTTACAGGCCGCAAGTATATTAAAGAGAGCAACCCCAATGTGACCCCTGTTTCCATAGCAACATACAGCTTGAGCCGTCTTCATACAATGCTGACAGGACTAAAAAATGCCCCCAGTGAAAATCTGGAACAAATACTCAGGTTAGTGTAATCGCGTGATTTTTCTGGCCAACCAGTACAGTTTTAAATATAAAGAAATGTATTGTATTGCAGTTGTCACTGGTAAATCATGTTTGTTGTGTTGGTCCTAGGATATTGGACAAGATAGGTGAGAGAATATATTTTTTTGGACCAACTATTTTGGTGAGGGGAATATTTTCAAGATGCACCAAGCTCTTCAGATAAAATCATGTAATTGTCAAGTAACCGCTGCTGCAGGTAGCTCTAGGAGGGCATAGGAATCCCAGAGGGAAGTCTGAAAATCCTTAGTACCTTTTTGGGTGATGTCCCCATGGATGCTCCACTGTTGGTGGTGGCTCTTCCCCAGAGCCACAGTTCAGAGCTTTTTCCCTAGAAGTTGACTGTCAGGCCACGCATGTGTAGGAGGTGGCTCACACCATTGGCGGTTTGACAGTTGCCTCACTCATGGCCTATCCTCTCTCCTCAGAGACATTCCCTTAGAATAGCACTTGCTTCTTTCAATTTTTGCCTCAGAATTTACCCTTTCTTTATTCCTTCCAATAAAATAGACATTAAAAAAAAAGATTTAGATTTTTTTTCTTTTTGGTCCATTTGGACCGCTTCATAAGCGGCAGTTCCAAGTTCTCCTCAGTCGGCTGCCCTGCTTCTCTCCCTTTTTCCCTTACTATCTATTATTTACCAGAGACAGGCAGCAGGAGAGAGAGAGAGAGAGAGAAAGATAAAAGGAGGAGAAGCTGGACAACTAACATGCTCTGGCTTATCAGCTGTTAACAGTGGGGAGCTAATTATAGCCTTCAGCTGCCTGCTGGTAAAGTGGCTTCTGCTATCTCCTCAGCATGACACCTTTTAAGAAGTGTCAACAATGTAAGGAGCCTATGTCTAGGCTCCTTACAGGATCTCCAAGTCAAAACTTTTTGTGGCAGATACAGATGAGATCCTTCATAACAGTAAGGACTCCCGAACAACCTTCCACACATTAGGCATGGGCACCCCTCCATATCGTTGCAGACGCTACTTCCCTTACAACAAGAACAGGAACAGCTTCTGTACCTGCCGCCAGAATAAACCTTATGACCATAACCATCCCAGACAGAGATCCCAGAGGAATCCTCCATCTCAGTCACGTTCCTCGGGTTCTCAGGCCCCTAAGCAGCAAATTTGAAGTCTTTGTTGGGGGTCTGCCCGACCTCCCCTACCATCCAGTGCCAACAAGCCAGAAACCTATATTTGGGTCAGGAAGTAGGTTGAATAAAACCCTCTTCCCTGATAAGGAATAAGGACCCTCTAAATTGTCCCTTTCTACATTATTGGGACGCAATAACATCAGAAGAGTGGGATCTCAAGATTGTTCACACAGGCTACTTTGGCCCATTCACGTCGCTTCTCCCTCTCCTTCCCCCTCTCCTGTCCCTCTCACAAGGGACCCCTCTCTCTTCTCAGGCAAGAGTTCAATCGACTTCTACACATAGGAGTGATTTAGAGGGTCTCTCTTACTTATCTGGGAAGAGGGTTTTATTCAACCTACTTCCTGACCCAGAAGCACACGGGAGGTTGGAGGCCCATCCTAGATCTGCGCAAATTGAAAAAGTTTCTGAGAAAACAGCGCTTCAAGATGGTCACACTGGCTTCAATCATCCTTGCACTGAACAGGGGGGACTGGTTTGCATCCCTCAACCTCCAGGATGTCTATTTCCACATCTCCATACTACAAGCCCACAGACGTTTTCTCCGTTTTGCATTTGGGGAGGACCATTATCAATACATGATCATCCCCTTTGACCTGTCCTTGGCACTTTGAGTCTTTTCAGAGGTCCTCGCAGTAGTGGCGGCCTATCTCCGTCAACGAGGAGTCGTCATTTTCCCATACCTCGATTACTGTCTCATTAAAGGCTGGTCGTACGCAGAGACAACAGACATGATGTTAAAGACCAGATGCCTCTTCAGGTACCTGGAGCGTCTGATATCTATGCCCAATCCACTCCAAGAAATAGAGTTCATAGGGGCTCACCTCGATTCCATATCCGCTCAAGCCTGCTTACCTGAACAGCAGTTTGATACCGTCCGCAATCTCATCAACACAGTATCTACGAACCCAGTCACTACTGTTCATTCCTGTCTCCAAATATTGGGCCTCCTGGCTGCCACAACATATGTTGTCCAGTTTGCATGTCTCCATTTTCGTGCCCTGCAACGTTGGCTGATTTCGATTTACAAGCCATCTCGTCACCCGCTCCACAAGTCAGATACCATTTCTGGTCACATGCTCCAGTCCCTCAGGTGGTGGACATCCCCCTGCAATCTACACTCAGGGGTCCCCTTCCTTCAACCCGAACTCTCTGTGCAAATCACCATGGATGCCTCACTCATAGGCTGGGATGCACACCTGAGTCACCATACTGTGCAGGGAAAATGGTCACAGCACAAAGCCCTTCTACACATGAATCTGTTAGAACTCAGGGCTGTCAGGAATGTGCGCAAGCCCTTTGCCCAACTCATTACCAATCTCACAGTTTGCATACTCACGGACAGTACGACCACTGTGTTTTATATAAACAGGCAGGGGGATACACGCTCCTGATCCCTCTGTACAGAGGCCACTTACCTTTAGAACTGGTGTATCCAACATGGTGTTATCCTGAGAGCATCCTGCTTGCCTGGCATCAACAACATAATGACGGACACCCTCAGAGGCAATTTTCCCACAGACCACGAGTGGGAGTTACATCCATCGGTGGTAGCTTCTATCTTCCGCAGGTGGTATTATACCAGCAACACCACCACGTGCCCGCAGTTCTGCTCCCGAGCAGGTCTCGGTTGCGATTCCAAGGAGGATGCCTTTCTCATCCTATGGGACATGCCACTACACTATGCCTTCCCTCCGGTGCTATTCATCTCCAAAGTCCTGCTCGAAATATGACTAGACAGATCTCTGGTCATCCTGATAGCACTGTCATGGTCCAAGTAGACCTGGTTCCTGTCCCTCCAATACATGTCAGTCGAACCACCGTATCTGCTGCTTTCCAGACAAGATCTCCTGTCACAACACCATGGCATGCTACTGCATCCCCAGTCTTACGTGCTCCATCTCCATGCCTGGCTCCTCTCTGGTTCCTAGGAGATGAACCCCACTGCTCTAGCAGTGTGAAGTCAGTTCTCCTTCACAATAGGAGACCATCTACCAGAAAGACTTACCTTCAAAAATGGAGACGCTTCACATCCTGGTGCCAACAAACCCACCTTGATCCTCAGCATGCCCCACTACCTTGCATTCTAGACTACATATATCACCATAAGGAACATAAGAATGGCCATACTGGCTCAGACCAAAGGTCCACCCAGCCCAGTATCCTGTCTGCCAACTGTGGCCAATGCCAGGTGCCCCAGAGGGAGTGAACCAAACAGGTTATGCTCAAGCAATCTCTCTCCTGCCATCCATCTCCACCCTCTGACAAACAGAGGCTAGGAAGGGGGTTTATCTGTCTCTATGGTCAGGGTACACCTTGCAGCAATTGCTGCATTCCATCATCAGTTTTTACCCATCCTGTTACCACAAGGTTTTTAAGGGGTCTCCAGAACCTTTATTTCCCTCCCCCAATGACACGTGCACACTCATGGGACCTCAGTCTAGTGCTGTGATCCCCCTTCGAGCCTATGGCCACATGTGCACTTTCATTCCTCACAAAAAAGGTGCTGTTTTTGGTAGCCATCACCTCCGGAAGGAGGGTCAGTGAGATGGGCCATTAATGGCTGGTCCACCCTACATGACATTTTTGCCAAGGACAGAGTGACTCTTAAGACCCCACCCTTCCTTTCTCCCTAAAGTCACTACCTCATTCCACATCAATGAGCCTATAGTCCTGCCCATTTTTTTCCCAAAGCCGCATATGTCCCCTAGGGATGCATTGCTTCATATGTTGGACATTCGTTATGCTCTAGCATTCTGCATTGACTGAACGCAGGTGTTCAGCAAACAGCACACCTTTTTGTCTCAGTTGCTAAACATTCCAGGGGCATACCCATGTCCTCCAATTGCATCTCCAAACTGGTAGCGTCCTGTATCATCCACTGTCATGATCTTCATAATAAGCCCTTGATTACTCTGCCGAGAGCACATTCCGCCTGTGCCACGGCAACAACTATTACTTTCCTGAGCAGTGTCCGATTTCCACCATCCTAGTGAGCACTGCTTTGTAGTCACCAACAGTGGAGCACCCACGGGGACACGCTTCTCGAAGAACAGTCATAACTTCCTTACCCTGGTCCTGTAGTTTTATTCACATTGTCCTTGAAGTCAATAGAAATATTTTCATGAATAAGTACTAGTCATATGACTAAGGACTGCAGGATCAGACCCCTTTCAAACAAGAAAATAGTAACAAAAGTACAGGCAGTCCCCGAGTTACGCGGATCCGACTTATGTCGGATCCGCAGTTACGAACGGGGCACTTCCTCTCCCTGGTCTCGAGCAGACCAGGGAGAGGAAGCAAAGCGGCGGCGGAACGCGCGGCCAGCTGACAGCCCAGACGCGTCTGGGCTGTCAGCTGGCCGCGCGTTCCGCCGCCGCTTTGCTTCCTCTCCCTGGTCTGCTCGAGACCAGGGAGAGGAAGTGCCCCGTTCGTAACTGCGGATCCGACATAAGTCGGATCCGCGTAACTCGGGGACTGCCTGTAGCAGCATGGGGTGGGGGGTCCTATGGAATCCAAACAGATCCCTAAGGGTAGAGGATTTGGGAGGAGTTTTTAGAGGGGTCACAGGACACCCGTTACTTCCAGTCATGTGTCCATCTTGACCCCAGAAGTACTTCCTCCAGGGATGGGACTTCATGTGGCAGGTGGGTGTGGCTTAAGGGACCACGGAGCATGGCTAATGAAGCTAACGGCATGGCTAACATGTCCCTATTTTTGGTTCAGAAAATATGGTCACAGTAACTACAGCTACAGTCAGTTGAGCTAAGGTGAAAACACTGCAAACATATGATGCCATCAGGAAGTAGCAACCTGGTGACACCTTGACCTGGCTCATGGAATATGCTTAGAGCCCTGCAAATCTGCGGCTATACAACTATTTCTGCTTTATATCTGTGGGTAGCAGCAAATCATTTTTGCAGATCTGGATGTGGGTATCAATTTTGTATCCAGGCAGAGCTCTACCTATGCTCACAGATAGGATTGCCAGAATGCTTCAAAAAATACCAGACACACTTGACATTACATCACAGTCTACATTACAGCTTATTTAGAAAATACCGGACATTTATATTTTCTCAGTTATATTTTCTCAATTTGTTTCCCAAACAGAAAGCTCAAATACTGGACTGCCTGGTTCAAAACCTGACACCCGACAACCCTACTCACAAAGAGCCAGAGGGATCTTTTCTATCAAGCTCCCAACACAGTGGTGACAGGGCGACATGCTCTGGCAAAGCAGTGGGATGACGCTGGCATGCAGGCACCTGATGTGATGGCCCATGCCCTAGGATGGGGCACGATGACGTCAGGAACGGGGGTTCTTAAGTTGAATCTGGCGTCCAGATTCAGCCACTGTTGAAACTGATCAGTTTCAGCAGCGGCTGAATCTGGACGCCAGTTCCGACTTACATACAGATTCAACTTAAGAACAAACCTACAGTCCCTATCTTGTACGTAACCCGGGGACTGCCTGTATCTTCAAGTCTGTTTTTCCCCTATTATTATTTTAAAGAAAGTCAAGCTACAGAACTGGTGGAATTAGCTGTAACTGGTGAAGCACCAAGAACCAAACTAACTGGCAAAGAACCTAGAACCAAAGGTTTTTTCATGTAAAACCAGCAATAGTTTTTCCTAAGGATACAGGGAGAATATTTTCTTTATTTCAGTTCAGTAACTAGATTGTTCAAAGTTAAGAAATCCAGCTAGTAGTAGAAAAAATAGGAAAGCTTATTTTCTTTTTCCAGTCTAGGAAGAAAAATCAAATGTGAGGGGATGAGTTTATTAATTCTAAAAATTAAGCATATTGTGACCAAAATAATCAGTACAGTTCACTTCCTATGGATAATGCTGCTTTGTTTAATAAATTGGTTTAAAATGCAAGACATATTTATATACTTATTTTTTCTTATGTATCTAGCACATTTAAGGTGACAAGTCATTTTAAAATGTTTCATGTTTGTTTTAATTCAATTCCAGTTTCAGTCTAAATAGAGCCTGACACATACCAGTTTTAAAACCGGTAGCAAATATGCATCATGCACTATTCTCTAATATAATAATTAATTGTGAATAAATATGATATAATTAGTGTATCAACCTGGTTAGCAAAGAGAAATATCAAATTTAGTGGCTATGTATAGTTGCAAATTATAATTTAATAGTTACTAATGAGTCACTTTTGGTTTAAGAAAATAGCTAAAAAGTAGAAATGGAAAACCTAGAGGTGCAAATTATTGAAATCAAATCAATGATTTGTTTGCTGACTTAAATCACTGATTTTAAATTGGTGAACTCAGTCTAATCACAGGGCATAAAGTCAGGCAATTGGTGTTGGTACAAGAGAAGTCTGAGATCATCATCAGTTTTACGACTTTAACACTATGATGAATACTTATTCATAAAAAGTAGATAGGGCTCTAACTTGCTGGTTGGTAAAGCATTTTGAAAAAATATTTATTTTGCCAGGGCATGTTCCAGGGATCCTTCTCAATCTATTGCAAACAGAGTGAAAGAAATGTATGACGTATACTGTCAGTGCACACAGTCTGAGGGAGAATTCAGTAATTTCTCCAAGGGTGAGACATTTTATTTTAAAATGTAAGAATTAAAAATATCTTTGAAATACTGCTCTTTTTTAAAAATAATTCATAGTTTGAGATTTTCATTTTGGTACAGAAAACTTTGAACAACATATGCTTTCTGTGGAATATCACTATACCATTCGTTTTCCCCTAGGTCCACACTGAAAATTTACCTCCATATAAGATGTCCTAAGTACTTTGATGGAAGAATTTGGGGGCAGGAAGGGAGGGGAATAGATGCTGCAGGTGCCATTTTTCTCTTCAACACTGAAGAAATGCCACCAGTGTGGCTTCATGAGGCATAGTGCTTTTAGATGCTGCAGTCTTCAGAATTAGAGATGAAACAGATGACAGACCACTAGTTTTCTGTAAAAATCCCATAGAAATTTTAGCCCTCCTATGAAAATTGTCAGGAAATAGGAAATATTTATTAGAAAGAATTAGGGTTGGCCAACTTTGTTTTTTATTTTTATTACAATTTTGAGACATGTCATTGTTTATTCAAGCATTTTTTTCTATTTGTATGTGTTTAAAGTCTCATATCTATGGGAAATTAAGGCAGAAGATGGTCAGACACATTATTTAGTGACCGTAACTGTACATATAGCCATATAATCATTAAGACAAGTTGTCAACATCACATATCAAAATATACCAAGTAAATGTTCTTAAATCAAACTCTGTATTCTCAAGCAGTATTTTTCTTACTTTGTGTATATGTAAATTTCTATTGTCAGTAAATATTTTTTCATGGCTTGTACATATGGTATGAAATTGATGTTTGACATTTACCAATTAAAAAAAACCTACTCCTTGTAAGCCTAGAGCCTATGTTTAGAATTAATACCAAAAGAATCTGAGAGAAGAGAAAAAGCTATTCATCATATTGAAAATTTTGGCAGATACATTGGAAGCTTGGGAGCACAACACCACACAAAAGAGTGCAAGTGTAAAATAATCAGAATGTTGTAAGTCAGGGTTCCCTGTGAAACTTTTCAGCTACAACAGGAGGACAAAATTTGGGAGAGGGGAAACCAACAATTTTGCTCTATCAATATGGAACATTTTGGATCCACCAATTATTAAAGCTGTTTCCTGTTTATTTATCCCAATACAAATTTGAAGGAATATCTGTACCTTGTGGCAATTCTGAAGTCATAGAAAAATTCACCAAAAGTTTGTATTAGCGCAAGATTGTTGGCACTAGTGTACTGATCAAATTCAGGCCCCCTATTTCAGTTGCATTTTGCCTTCCTAAAATTTCCCAGTAAGGCTTCAGTAGTAAAAGCTGTTTTTCACTTTCCTTCTAATCTTCTGCCCTCCTTACCATTATAAAGCATTTGGGGATCTCGCACAATGGAAAGCTATATAATTGTCACAATGTGTTACTCTGTCTTAATCAAGTCATTTTATGTAAAAAACTAATAAAAAACCCCAGTGGCAGTAGATGGAACTTAAATCAGATATACAGCATGTTAATATAAATTTTCATTATATCTTTTTCCTCTTGCAGATAACACTGGCAAGCATTTTCGTCTTGCTGAGATTCTTTACTACAAAGTACTAGAGTCTGTCATTGAGCAGGAGATGAGAAGATTAGGAGACACTGATTTATCAGTAAGTAAAATCAGTTATCAGTCAGATAATTTATTTTTAAACTTCTTTCAGAATGAATTAGTTGCACAGCATAACAAACACTGTTGAGCCATTCAAAATGAGTACAACGCTATTATGCAGGGGGAGATAACTTCATAGTGAAGTTATTCTCTTGGTAATTTCTATATTAGGGTACGTCTAGACTACAAGCCTCTTTCAAAAGAGAGCATCTAGACTGCAACCACTTCTTTTGAAAAAGCAAGCTGCTTTTTTGAAAAAGAGCACCCAGACAGTCTGGATGCTCTCTTTCGAAAAAGCCCTGTTTGCATTCAAGAACGCCTTTTTCGAAAGAGCACTTTTGAAAAAAGGTGTTCTTCCTCGTAAAATGAGGTTTACCGCGGTCGAAAAAACCACCGCATTCTTTCGATTTAATTATGAAAGACCGCAACAGCAGTCTAGACACAGGAAGTTTTTTTAGAAAAAAGGCCCCTTAAAAAAAAAAAAAACCTGTAGTCTAGACACACCCTAAGTTTGTTCTGTTTGCAAGTGCTAAGATTTTGATATTTGTAATAGCACTGCAAACTTCTACTAGCATTGAAACCAGTATTTAGGCAACAATTTCAGTGATGATTGAAAGGTAGAATAGAATGCAATTTATCCTTCTGTAGGTAGAGTTGTTATGCACGTGAGTATATAAATTTAAACAAATATTATACTTGTTTTTTTTAATCTAGCTCTTTCATATATAATTTTTTCAGAGATTGCCTTTTTCTTTAATCTAGAAATGTTTTTCTAAGCTAGGCTGACATTTTTTAAAAGATGTTTTGTATTGCAGGCAATACTGGAGCAGGATGTGTTTCACAGGTCTCTCCTGGCATGTTGCCTTGAGATAATTACTTTTTCATACAAACCTCCTGGAAATTTCCCATACATTACTGAAATCTTTGATGTACCTGTTTATCACTTTTATAAGGTAAATGGCTCTGGTCATGTGACGTGATGATTACTAATCATGATAATGTTATTTTTATAACTCGCTCAACTTAGTTATGTTCCTGAAACTACCTTAAGAGAAATGGTGTTAAGCAAATTCAATTTCTCTATAAGAATTAATGTAAAGGGGAGGGGTAGGTTCCAGGGATTTTTTTAGCAAATAAAAGGCAGTGTATGCATATAAGTATAAATTATAAACAATTCAGTACTGTACACAGCAATGATGATTGTGAAGCTTGGTTGAGGTGATGGAGTCAGAGGATGGAATATTTCCCAGGGAATGTCTTGCTACTAAATAATGAACTACCACTTAACTGAGCTCTTGGGGGTTGACATGTTAATGTAGCCTCACACTCTGCAAAGCAGCATAGACTGAGGAAGGATGGAGGAAACATTGGATGCATGGCAGTGACTGCAAACACTTCCCTACGAAAACTAAACATGATGAACCCACACTATTCCATTGGAGTCCACCACTGTCTCCTTTGGATGGTGCATGCACAGCTGCACAGTGCTAAGGGAGGGTGGGGTGTGTGTATGTGTGTGAGAAACAGACAGATGCACACACTGTGTGTGTGGGGAGGCAGGTGTTAGAGAGAAAGAGAGGCAAACACAGAGTTGCATTGCCCCTTTGAGTACAGTGATCCCACTTCAAGTACACTGCCCTTCTGCAGGACTCTGTAGCTGTGATACCATGTTTGTGAACGTGGGGTATAGAGGGGAGGGGGACATCCTGTCGTCAGCACCTTCTCCCCACCCCCAGCACAGCAAACAGGAGGCTCACGGGAGCAGTTCCAAGGCAGAGCGCAGTAGCAGCATGGTGGGGAAAGGAGGGACAGATGAACTGCAGCTGCCTAGCCCCATACCCTAGGGAACATAGGGGGCTACTAGCCCACACTAGTTCCAAATCCCCACAAAGATACACTACTTTTCAAAAAAAAAAACCTGCAATAGTGGACAAAGCAGGCTGCCCAAAGGACGTTATAAGGGAGAATTGCACAATTTTAAACAAGTTTGTGCTCTAATAGAGAAACAATGTAACACTGAAACAATGCTAACTAGAACAGTGTTAAGTGAGAAGTTACAGTACTCACCTAAGAAGTCCTTTTTCTTGAAGCAAGATACTTTTTTCTCAATTGGATGGGCAATCATTTAAAAACCTAAGTTATGAAAGCAGTCGTGCGGTATTGGGGTTTTTTATGGAGAAATATAAACTGGAAAAATCAAATGATTTTCTTTCTTAAACTGCAAAGTGAAGAAATCCTGTATTGTTAACTGTGTGATCCATTGATGGTGACCAGATTGTCTAGTTAAAAATAACGGGTAATGGACCATAACATTTACATAGGATAATGGGCCCTTTCTGTTGCACTTCTTGACCTATTGAAAATGTTATTTTCAAATCTTGTAACTTGGGTCTGATAAAACTTGCAATTGCAGTGATCGACTGACCTAGGTTTAATTGCTAGTGATCTAGTATGATAGTTACTACTTCTTCGAGGAGTGTCCTTGTGGGTCCTCCACCTTAGGTGTCTGGACGTTGATGCTCATGTAGTCATAAATTTTTGGTAGCAGTGCCCTCCAGTAGGCTGCACACATAAAGCAGATGGCACATGTGGTGCTGACACTATGCATGTGCAGCCAACTGTCCCTCTAGTTCCTTCTCTGCTGTTGCCTGCATCGGTCAGAACCACAGTTGCTCTCCAGTTTTTACTTCAAAATATTCTGAGGTTCTCTGTTAGTTTTTTGTATAGTTAGCATAGTGTTTTGTTTTTTCATAGTTAATAGTTAAAGCGGTTTAAGAACATTATCATCTTTTTTGTAGTTAAGGGGGGAGGGATAGCTCAGTGGTTTGAGCATTGGCCTGCTAAACCCAGGGTTGTGAATTCAACCCTTGTGGAGGCCATTTAGGGATTTGGGGCAAAAATTTGTCAGGGATGGTACTTGGTCCTGCTGTGAAGGCAGGGGACTGGACTCGATGACCTTTCAAAGGTCCCTTCCAGTTCTAGGAGATAGGCAATCTCCATTAGTTTAATTTTAATTTAAGGCCATTTTCACCTTGGCAATATTTTTTCCTCCCTGGGATGCTAGGTTCCCCAGGCTTTAAACATTGCCTGTCTTGCAGGCTCTCAATCCCAGTCTCCGACGGGCACTCGCAGTGTGTCCAGTGCCCGGGGCAGGCACATGCCACAGCCAGTGTCAGCACTGCAGGCAGTTAACAGCCCGAACGTGGACAGCCAGGGAGCTACAACTGAAGCTTATATTCCTGGAGAACACTCTGAGGCCATCCTTGGACCCAGAGCATTCCACCCCCCTTAGACAGCCCTCGTCAGTGGCTATGTCTGAGAAGGTGGTCCCCTCAGGCATTTGGGGCTCTTCCTCCAATCAGTCCAGGAAGAGATCTCACTCCTCAAGTAAGGGTAACATGCTTCAAAAAAATGGGCAAACACCTAAAATACTCCCTGCACTGACCTCATCTAGGGCACCAGACAAGGAGGTTCCAGGAATGTCTGGCACCAGCAGTTCCCGAGGGTTCAATGACCTCACAAAGGTGGCACCAGAGAAGCCTAAGTCATAGTCGGCACCACCGGCACTGTCTGACACCACCTCGGTACCAACAAAGGTGAGGACAAAGTTGGCTCCTTCAGACGCACTGTCGGTACCAAAGAAACCTAGGCTGCAATGTGCACCTGTGCTGCCCCCGGTACCGAGGAGAAACAAGCAGCTGATACCGACAATGCACCACTCCTCTATGCCTTCCTTCCGATTCCACTCCTCAATCATGTGGTCAACAAAATAAGATCAGTCACAGCCACTACTCCAGCATAGCCCAGGCAGACATGGTACAGTAACCTACTTCATATATCCAAGAGATGACCATGGAGGCTCCCCCTGCTTCCTTATCACCTGACACAGAATGATGGGAGAGTAGACCATTCATGCCTGCAGACACTTCACTTCTGCGTGTGGTTTCTTTAATGGCTCACCTCAGAAGAAACAATATTCACTGATCAGGTCAAACAAATCTTACTGAACAGTCGCAGAATAACAACTAGAAGTTCTTATCTTTACAAGTGATGAAGATTCTCATTGTGGTCAGCATAGAAAGGCCTAGATGCAGCCACCGGGCCTCTGTCTGGCATTCTGCAATACATTCTGGGACTGAAGGAGTTGGGCCTTTCATTCAGCCCAACCTGGCAGCCATTATGGTTCTTATCAACCCATCTGTGTCCCAGCCTGGGACCTCAATTTAGTCATTTGGGCCCTCACTTGTAAACCATTTTAGCCCATGGCAACAAGCTCTATGCTCCACCTCTCTATGAAGGTGGTCTTACTGGTGGCCGTCACATCCGCCAGGAGGGTAAGTGAAATTGGCGCGCTCAGTGCAGACCCTCCTATCACAGTATTCCATAAAGACAAAGTTGTTCTCTGTCCTCATCCCAACTTCCTTACAAATGTTCCCACTCCATTCCACTGCAATGAGCCCATAAACTTACCTATCTTCTTCCCAAAGCTTCACGCCAATAACGAAGAGGCTGCACTGCATATGCTAGATGTCCACAGGGCGATTGCCTTTTATTTGGACAGAACTTAACAGATTCTCAAGTCAAACAGGATGTTTATCTCTACCACAGAGAGATAATTGGGCATCACAATTTCTACCCAAAGACTATTCAAGTGGATAGCGAACTGAATCAAACTGGCTTGCTTCACCTGTGGCCAAGCTCCTCTGTTGCATCTAAGAGCACGTTCAGTGAGAGCCATGGAGGTTTCTACAGCTTATCTGCACAGCATTCCATGGATATATGTTGTTCAGCAAGGTGGTCTTCCACCCACACATTCACAAGACGCTATGTTCTTGACAGTTACCTGTCCCGGTCACACTGTCCTAGCCGCTGTGCAGGATACTAGCTAACTGAAGCACCTGACTCCAAACATGGGCACTGTTTCATAGTCATCTAAATGGGAGCATGCACAGTGACACTTTTCAAAGGAGAAGAGAGGGTTACTCACCTTATGCGGTAACAGAGGCTCTTCCAGATGTTTGTCGCTTTGGGTGCTTGATCACCCACCTTTCCTCCCTTCTGTTTCGGTTTCTCCTTCTGGGGCAGAGAAGGAACTGAGGGGGACGGTTGACTGCACATCTGTAATAGTGGCACTGCATGTGTGCCTGTGCCATCTGTTTCGTGTGCTCAACCTATTGGAGTGCACAGCTGCCAAAAATCTCTGACTAAGCATGCAGCAGCGCCCAGACACCTAAGGTGGGACATCCATAGGGACAACTATTTCAAATAACCTCCGTTACTGCACAAGGTGAGTAACCCTCTCATACTATAGCTTTGAACTACACCTGTTTTTTTTTCCTGTTAGGATTAATGTGATAGTTCATATTTAATACAACCCCATTTAAAAGGAAATACGTGAAAGGTTTGATGATCTCACTTTATTGTACTGGTCACACAATGTCCTTGTTTAACATGGCAGTAAGTGGATTTCATACTTACTCTCTTTACAGGTAATAGAGATTTTTATTAGAGCAGAAGACGGCCTTTGTAGAGAAGTGGTAAAACATCTTAATCATATTGAAGAGCAAATCTTGGAGAGTATGGCATGGAAACTTGAATCTCCATTGTGGGACAGAATCCGAGATAATGAGAATAAAGTTCCCACCTGTGAGGAGGTAAGTGTGAGAAGGAAGAGCTATTTTATTTTTAAAAAGTTGTTACAAGTTTCATAGGGCCTTCCTCAGTTTAGATGGCACTCATTAGAAGTTCATACATTGGGCATTTGGGATATGAAGTCCTCTTAGTGAAACTTAGCAAGTCTTTCTCAACATGTAATTATTGAGATGAAGTAGCTTCATGATTAAAATGATGGAAAGCAGAAGAAGTTTTATCACTGAATTCAATGAAGCTAGGATGTCTCTCTCGTTTGTTTGATTCATTCCCCCTTCAGTATCTTGCTGTTTTGAAATTGGATACAGCAATAAAATGTGCTTCTTAAAACTGTCCTTATTTTTAGAGTGCATAAGCATTTAAATAGGGTTAGAAATCAGTTGGCTCACTAGAGTAATTAATTTAATAATTTCAGCATGTTTATTTAATTGCAGGTAATATAAATATTCTACAGGTTGAACCTTTATGGTTCAGGACTCTACTCCGGCAACATCTGTGGTTTGGTAGGACCGAGGCTATTGCTGGACCAGAGAGCCCTGGCTAGCCAGGTTCGGGGGCTGGGCTGGCAACGGCAAGTGCAGCCTCAGTAGTAGTGGAGCCAGCAAAGCGAGGAACCTTGACCTCCCTTTGTCTGGCAAAGTCCATTGTTCAGGACCATTCACATCCTGAGGTTGCCGGACCAGGGAGGTTCCACCTGTAGTACCTAATATTTTGACTATTACATCAATATTATTTTAGGTGATGCCACCTCACTATTTTGAAAGATCTAATGGGAACAGTCTGGTAGGCTCTCCTTTGACTCCAAGAAGGATCAGTGAAGTTCGTGCTGAAACTGGAGGGGTCGGAAAAGGTGAGATTTTAAAAAATATATAAAAGATATAATGTGTAGCCTGTATTTTAGAACTGATGTATGCTGTGTGGTAGAAAGTTGGCACTCCGATGCATGCAAGTTACACACATTCCAATGGAATATTTACATGTATAGTAAGATGAGGGCCTGAAGCATAAGCTTGTGTATCACAGGCCAGGTGTGAGACCTGAGGTCTAGACAGCAATGGTCAAGACTTTGCTAATATAAAGCACAGTTAATCTGTGAGCAAGAGGCAGACCCTGCTCACATAAGTTAGCAAGAACAGGGCTGACATTATAAAAACACTTATACATAAGTGGTACCAGCCACAGGCTGAAAGCACATTCCAGAGGGATTGTAACAGAACATTTTAAGAAACATCTTGGTACCAATACACATCCCACAGATAACAAGAACACACTGACCCAGGGTCTAAACTGATAGCCAGATAGATAGTGATCCAACTCCATGTATAAGGTAAGGGGTGGGTGTAAGTAACATCAGAGGGTGGCCACCTCATACGTCAGGAGTGATAGTTAACTTGTTTATATCTGTGTACACCCTAAAGGGTGGTCATCGACTGACCATGGGCAGGCAATGCTGAATCCATTGTCACGGTGTACATACATATAGTGGCGCAGCAACGAGTCTATTTGCTGGCAACTATTATTGGACTTTGCTTGGCAATAAACTTGGCCGGGTGCTTTCAATCCTTATCTGATGTTTGGTCTCTGGGGGCTCTCTTGGAGTCTGTCATGTTGACTGATTGCACATGGTTAACGCTTTAGACAAGGGAGCACATGCATGCATGCAGCCAAAAGTTTATCATCCTTGACGGAGCAGATGACTTGTCAGGTACCCATCAGGATGCCTGACTGACGACAACATGAAGAAATATTACATTTTTAAAATAACTAATGTGTGTGCCAGATGGGATGTACTAAGGAGTTTGTAACAAATATTGAATAGAACTAAGCAAATAATGGGTATTTTTTCAGTTCAGAGTCCTGTCATTATTCCAGTCTGTCCTAATATGCCTTGTTGCAAGTGGGCATGGTATTGCAGGTGAGCCCTTGATTTTTCCCCTCAGCCAGGATATCAACAAGTCCAGACTGACACTAAAGAGCACATCATGGTAGAGGATCTCATTTATTAACTGAAAAACTAATGCAAAACATGAACTAAACTCCTCTGAACATCCCACCAGAATGATTAGGTCATTCTTAGTACATGTTTCCCAACTGAGTCCAGGACTTGCTTCTACCCAGGCTCTTTCCCCTTCCCCTCCCTCCACCCTGTACTAACAGTAAAGTGGCTAAATACAAATTCAAGCTTCGTTTTAAAATGAAGTCCTCAGAGTACAGTAAGATGTTATGGCGCACATTTTGATTAGATGAATTTTTACAGCACTGCAGCCATAAAACTTAAGTATTACTGAGTTACAGCTCAAGTTAAATGCTTGTGTGTTTGTTTTTTTATATATGTATATCTTCAGGTCTTTCGTCTTCTCCAGCCACATTGTATGACAGATACAGTTCTCCTACAACCAACCCTACGCGAAGAAGGCTATTTGTGGATAATGATAATCCTCCTGATGGTGGAACTCCCGTAAGAGTCTCACAGCAGCCTGTAGTAAATACTGTGCCAGTGCAGAATGTGACACCTGAAACTATGTCAGTTACTCCTGTGCCTGGACAGACATTGGTTACTGTGGCAACTGCCACTGTCACAGCCAACAATGGACAAACTGTTACAATACCAGTACAAGGTAAGGGGGAAGCTCTGGGAGAATGAATTGCATTGATTACTACCAGGAACACTGAATTGTGTATCGGTAGGGAGTGAAAGAGTAGGTAGACGTTGGATATGGAAGGAAATGAAAAGCAGAGATACACAGGGCATAAAACAGGATAGTAATGAATGAAGAAAAGGCCTGGATACTATTTAGCCGTCAATACTACAGCAAATGTACATTTGCTTCCCCACTTCCTTTTGTGGGAGTCATGTGTTTAGCTTTCTCTTGATTGATTGAAAGTAACTAGGGTTAACCACTTATCTTTTGGTCTGTTTATGATTAAGATTCCTCATTGTTCTTTCCTGAACATTTTCAGTTGCCTACCACTACACACTTATGAGTGTCCATCATTACAAAAGTTACTGATGCTCAGGAAGCATGGCTGGTGTTTTTAGACACCCTTTACTGAATTCATTTTTGTTTTAATTACAGGCATTGCCAATGAAAATGGAGGAATAACTTTCTTCCCGGTTCAGGTAAATGTAGGTGGCCAGACTCAGGCTGTATCTAGCTCCATCCAGCCACTCAGTGCCCAGACTCTTGCTGGTACCCTTAACACTCAGATGAGTGGGACATCCCTTCAGTTACCAAGCCAAGTTGCGATTCAACAGCTCTCTTCTGGAGACCAACAAAGACAAAACCAGCAGTTTTCTACTACCACCAGCAGTAAAGCCCGAAAGACTGGCTCTCTGTCTTTCTTCTTTAGAAAGGTACCTTTCACTGTGAAATGTTATCATTTTCTCAGGAGTATGGGCTTTATTGTAAACTTGCTAAGATTTTCAGTTCATAACAGGCTGTTTACATTACATATAGAAAATAAGTTTTTGAAAACCAGGACTTGGAGATCAGAGTACCGTTTCTCCTGTGAGAGTTAATAGTATCTTAAGTACTTAAAACACAGCATGTTCTTTCATGGGTTTAGATCTGTGGTGTATATTTGTTACAAGGGAACACTGATCTTCTCAAGCAAGCAAAATAAACTAATTTTTCAAATCCTGGTTTAAAGTGGACATTTTATTGGATGTATAAATACTGCCTATTGATTTGGAGTCTTAAACAGCTCATTTAAAAAAAAAACATGCTGAGCTTTCCTTTTTGTTAATTAGTATAGTCGATACAGTTCTATGTTTAGAAAGCCATGTAAGTTAAAAGAGTTTGATTTTTGTTCTTATCAAATGCTGTCTACTGGTTCTTCCAAAAGGTTTATCACTTAGCAAGTGTTCGACTGCGGGATCTCTGTGTCAAACTGGATATTTCTGATGAGTTGAGGAAGAAAATCTGGACATGTTTTGAGTTTTCTTTGGTACAGTGCCCTGAGCTCATGATGGACAGACATTTAGATCAACTGTTAATGTGTGCTATTTATGTAATGGCTAAGGTAAGATGAATAAAAAAATAAATGTCTGTTACTTAAATAGTAAAATAATTTATCGGGATTACTGGAAATTTAAGGCAGTTGCATTTCCCCATCAAACAAAAAACTAATTGCCTTTTTCAGGTTACAAAGGAAGACAAGTCATTTCAGAACATTATGCGTTGCTATAGGACCCAACCACAAGCAAGGAGTCATGTAAGCACAATTAATACTGAAGTAATGGGGTTTATATTTTTACTGTGCCCCTCAAGTACTTATGGTAGCTTCCATCTTCAGAGATAGTCCATGAATGGGAATCTTGAGTGACGACCTTTAATTTTCACTAGTGGGCTTTAACCCTCAATGGTATAAATTCCTTTACTCTAACAGGATTTCAGTTTACTTCCCAGAAATTTAAAGTCCATAAACCCTGATAGGCAACTTGCAGTGTACCAAATACCTTTTCATAGTTTCTGAAGAGGATGGCTAAATCCTAAATTCTTTGCTATATACGTGGTGTTTGACAAAATGTGGTTTAGATTCTAGATGTCTTCATTTAAAACCTACGATAGTGCTCCCAGTGATTTTTTAAAAAAATAAGATGATGCATTTAAATATTATGATATTAGGGATTAGAAAATGAGGCTGCAAAATATTCTCTTCTAATAATCTATATTGGGATAACCTGTATTGTTCCAATAGTTTCCCTTGTAAGACAAACATTTCTTAAAGTGCTGGTCTTTCATACAACCCTTTGCTGCTTGCATATATGGCTGCCTTCATTTAACTGTCTTTTTCTGTTGGGTTGTTCCTCACTTTGGGTTTTTTGTAGGTATATCGGACAGTCCTGATAAAGGGCAGAAGACAGCGCCGTCGCTCTGGCAGCAGTGATAGCAGTAGCCAACAGAATTCCCCAAGAGAGAGAACTAAAGACAGAAGTAAGTCATTACAAACTGTTGTATGTGGATGTGAACTAGATTAGCTCTCTAAAGCGAGGAATATCTTAATGTTAATCCTGGGGAAAGGAAATGTTTTATCTAGCTTGAAAGGAGGAGATATAAACAACTTAACGTATAGATTTCAGTACCTCGGAAGGCAATAATAAAAGTTCAAATGGTTTAATTTTTGGTAAGCAGATATTTTAAATTTAGACTGGTACAGGAAGATTTCAGCAACAAAACACCTGCACCATTTAACTCCAAGTAAACTTGCTCAATACTAGAGCTGCCCTTCACAATTTTGTTGCTACCTTAACAGCTGTTTATCATTTTAATAATCTATTGAACCCCCATCATCTTTGGTTTCTACTCAGGAGAATTTATATCAAATTGCTCTCCCTAATCCACTCTGTGTCCCTCACGTTTGGCTTGGACTTCTATAGCACTTACCCCGCTCTTTTTTCTGAAGCTGTGTGTGCTGGCAGACACATAAGCCTGATGCACTAATTAGTGCTGTTCTGCAGAAGATTCCCCTCTAAATTGTTCCAAGACAAAATGAATACCAGAAGGTATCAAGTGGTGTCTCACATTTAGGTTGTCTTTACAAGTAGTTGGGGTTAGTAGTTCTTCTTTGTAGGTCTAGATAAGAACTGGTACTTAAGTAAGAGATCTCCTTAGCAAGAAATTCTGGCAGGCCAGCACCATCACTAAGGGTGTGTCTAGACTACAGGGTTTTGTTGACAAAATTGGACTTTTGTCGACAAAACTATACCTGCGTCTAGACTACCGCCAAGTTCTGTCGACATAACGTATTCTACGAGGAATAATGCCTTTTGTCGACAGAGTTCTGTCGACAGAAGGTGTTATTGCATCTACACTGTTCTTTGCGTCTACACACTAATGTTGGCAAAGCGACTTGCTTTGTTGACAGAACTGGATGTAATCTAGATGCTCTTTGTTGACACAGTATCTGTCGACAAAGCCTCTGTTGACAAAAGCCTGTAGTCTAGACATACCCTAAGAGAACTAAAAAAATACTCATTGTCCATTTAAACGCATGCTAGAGAGGTGTTCTCACTGCAGATACTCCCTTGACCCTTCGCTTTTTTTTAGCATAGGAGCACCTACTTAACATTTGCATTACAAACGAAAAAATTCTCCACCTATATTTCAGGGACTTCACATTCACTTAGGACTCCTGTTTTGGCCTAATCTGAACATCCATTCCCTGAGTGCAATTACTACTTTTCTAGAGAGCAAAGAAAGTGCTGGGCTAAAACTGCAAGGACTTAATGCCATTGCACTGCCTCTTCGAACTAACATGTCCATCTGAAAGGATGACATTTGAGCAATTCATGCTTCCAAGCTTATCAGTGAGGGAGTAGAAGAGTGCTGAGTTCTTCCATTTTTTTTTATTCCCCTAGCATGGGGAGAGCACCCCCACAATTAGGAAAGCACAAGAACAAGCCTGGGTACGTGGCCTACCATTAAACGCAGGACTCAATGATTCATTGCTCCCGTCTTTCTGCTGCTTCCAACTAATGTCTGTCCTGTAGCTTAAGCGGTTCATCTTAAGTGGTACATTGGTGATCTTCCAGAAAACACCACCCTAGGCACCATGATTGTAGAGGTTCTCTACACCAACATCCCACACATAGATGGAATATAAGCTGTCAGGAACAGTTAGTATCCCTGATGATGCCACAGCACAACTGGTGGCCGAGCTCTGTGACATTATCCTCACACAATTATTTCAGATTTGGGGACAATTTATACCTTTAAACCAGTGGCACCACTACAGGCACCTGCATGGCCCCACAATGTGCCAACATTTTTATGGCTTACCTAGAGCAACATTTCTTCAGCTCTCGTCCACTAGCGCCCCTCTTCTGCTTATGCTACATTGATGACATCTTCATCATCTGGACCCATGGGAAGGAGGCTCTGGAAGAATTCCACCATGATTTCAACAGTTTCCACCCCACCATCAACCTCAGCCTGGACCAGTCTATGCAAGAGATCCACATCCTGGACACTACAAAGCGAATAAGTGATGGTCACATAAACACCACCCTATACAGAAAACCTATTGACCGCTATGCTTACCTACATGCCTCTAGCCTCCATCCCGGACACACCACACGATCCATTGTCTACAGCCAAGCACTAAGGTACAACCACATTTGCTCCAAGCCCTCACAGACAGACACAAACACCTACAAGATCTTCATCAAGCATTCTTAAAACTACAATATCTGCCCGAGGAAGAGAGGAAACAGATTGACAGATCCAGACGTGTACCCAGAAGCCTCCTGCTACAAGACAAGCCCAACAAAGAAAATAACAAAACACCACTGGCCATCACTTACACTTCCCAGGTGAAACCTCTCCAATGCATCATCAGTGATCTACAACCCATCCTGGACAATGTTCCCTCACTTTCACAGACCTTGGGAGGCAGGTCAGTCCTTGCCCACAGACAACCCGCCAACCTGAAGCAAATTCTTACCAGCAACTATACACCACACCACAGTAACTCTAACTCAGGAACCAATTCCTGCAACAAACCTCAGTGCCAACTCTGCCCACATATCTGCACCAGCAACAACATCACAGGACCTAACCACATCAGCCACACCATCACAGGCTCATTCACCTGCACATCTACCAATGTAATATACACCATCATGTGCCAGCACTGCCCCTCTGCCATATCCATTGACCAAACTGAACAGTCCCTATGTAAAAGAATAAACGGACACAAATCAGGTATCAGGAATGGTAACATACAAAAACCTGTAGGAGAACACTTCAGTCTCCCTGGACACACAGTAGCAGATTTAAAAGTAGCCATCCTGCAACAAAAAAACCTTCAAAAACAGACTTCAAAGAGAAACTGCAGAGCTACAATTCATTTGCTAATTTGACACTATCATTTTAGGATTAAACAAAGACCGTGAATGGCTAGCTAACTACAAATGCAGTTTCTCCTCTCTTGGTGTTCACACCTCCACATTAGCCACTAGAAGTGGACCTCATCCTCCCTGACTGAATTGACCTCATTATCTCTAGCCTTACTCTTGATTGGTACTCTTTTCAAATGCCTGTATATTTATACCTGCCTCTGGAATTTCCACTACATGCATCTGACAAAGTGGGTTTTTGCCCACGAAAGTTTATGCTCCAATAAATCTGTTAGTCTATAAGGTGCCACAGGCCTTTTTGTTGTTTATCCAGATTCAGACTAACATGGCTACCTCTCTGATACGTAATGAAACAACAAACCTTCTTTATGAAACAACAAATAGTCCAGTAGCACGTTAAAGACTAGCAAAACATGTAGATGGTATCATGAGCTTTCGTGGCTACAACACACTTCTTGATCAGATGAAGAAATGGGCTGTACCCACAAAAGCTCATGATACCGTCTACATGTTTTGTTAGTCTTTAAGGTGCTGCTAGACTATTCATTGTGTATCAAGTTTTTCCAGTTACAGACTAACTCAGCTACCCCATGAAGCTTCTTTATGAAGTATTTGGGGGGAGGTGGGGCTTTATATAGTTGCACGTGTTTTGTTTTGTTGTTGTTTTTTTAAACTTCAAAAAGGTCATTTCCAAGTTAAAAGAATATTTAGTTTGTCAGATTTATAGTTACCCACCCAAATGTAATTCTGTCCCCGTGTGTGTATGCAGTATTTTTCCACATGAGGGATGCATAGTCAACCATAGATCTGGAACTTTTTTGCTTTTGACTAGAGCTTATAAAAACCACATTAAAATTGTTTCTAAGAGCAAAAACTACATTTAATAATAATCTAACAGAGGATTGCAATGCTACTCTTGCCTTCCAGCTAGCAGAGACTCTAGTCCTGTCATGAGATCCAGCAGCACCCTGCCAGTACCACAGCCAAATAGTGCACCTCCTACTCCCACCAGACTGACAGGTGCAAACAGTGATGTTGAGGAGGAGGAACGAGGAGATCTTATTCAGTTCTATAACAACATCTATATTGAACAAATTAAAGAATTTGCCATAAAGTATTCTTCCACAAATGCTGTAAGTGTATTAATGACTTTCATTAGTAAAAAAAAAAAGCCAGTGCAAGAAGGTGGGTGAAATAACATCCTTTATTAAATCAACTACTGTTGGTGTGTAGATCTTATAAAGTGCTCTTGCCACTTCATTTGTGTTGCAATCAGCAACTATGAGAGAGTGCTTCATTTTACTAATTTTTGAAATAACTGTAGCAACAGAAAATAAAGCATGTGTACATACTCCCTAGATTCTAGGATTGGGAAACTTTAATTGTTGATGAGAGTATGTTGTGATTCTTGGTGCCATATCCATACCAAACAGCATTTTTTGTTTTGACAAAGTGCCCTCCCCTGCTTCAGTGAAGTAGGCCCATGAAGAATTGTTTTATGCTTTATAAACATTACAATATCTGAATGTTATGCCATGTATAGGGGAAGCATTAAAAACATTCAAAAGGGGCTAATGCTTGCCCTATTCTTTGTTAGAAAGTGGTAGTGATTGATTTGTTCTGTTTTTTCTTAACAGACTGATGCTCCTCCACTATCTCCATATCCATTTGTAAGAATTGGCTCCCCCCGCAGAATACAGCTGTCCCAGAATCACTCAATCTACATTTCACCACACAAAAATGAATCTACACTTTCTCCACGAGAGAAAATATTCTATTACTTCAGCAGTAGCCCCTCCAAGGTCAGAGTAAATGGTTAATATTCCAAGAATTGGTGGGGAGGAGGGATGATTTTTAGTTTTGCTTTTAAAAGAACACTTACATAGCATCCTTTTCTACAAATTAAAAAAAAAGCAAAGATGTGATTTATGAGTGCATGCACATAGCTAGTTCTCAAGTTTTATTCCTTTTGCTTATGAATAAACTAGAAGATTTACCCCGCATTGCTACAGGGCAGGGGGCTGAGAGTGTGGGCAATGCAGTAGTCAGGGCAGGAGCTTGAGAACGTGGAGGGTACAGGGCAGGGAGTTGCTGTGTGAGGGAAGTGCTGGAGTCAGGGTTCAGGTGTGAGGAGAGGCTCAGGGCTGGAGGTATGGGGGTTGCAGGGGCCATACTTTCAAAGCAGCTGCTCCAGGGCTGACCACAGGAGGGGCTACTCTGGCTGGGGGGGGGCTGTCCCAGTGGGATTATAGCTGCCAGTCCCCGTTTCTGGCTCCTTGTGGACATTACACATATTGCTGTCCCTCTTACCAGACACCTCCCTTTCCAATCTCATTCAAGACACATCCCATTGTCCTGGCATAACCCAAACCTTTACCTTGCTTTAAGTTGTGATAAGAGGAAGCTGCATACCAAATTTGGTGGTCCTAGCTCTTACCATTTAGGAGGAGTTCTTGAACAGACAAGCTCTCTCAAGTATATAATAGATACTGCACCTGCAAAGTTACCCATGTGGTAAGTTAGGCGCAACAGACAAGGCAGTCTAAAAAATAAAGCTCTCAAATGTCTTAGTCCTGTTTTTATAAGTGACTCAGGGTCCCTAATGTATGGCAGGCTAGGGTGCGACTCTACAGCACATCAGCACACTAACTATTCATGAAGTGCCTCTTTCTGTTATGGTCGTTGTTTGGTGTACATGAGAGTAACAAACCAATGTGGAATCCTTGTTAAGGTTACCTAGTCTGTTGGTGAATGAATATAAGATTGGCAAAGAGATAGGGGTTTTACTGCAGAATCCTCCTCTGAACCTGTGGATACCCACATTTCCTGTTCTTGCTGTGATTGTTTCAGAGATTGAGAGAAATTAACAGCATGATTAGAACTGGAGAGACTCCCACAAAGAAAAGAGGCATTCTCTTAGAAGATGGTACTGAATCACCAGCCAAACGGATCTGTCAGGAGAATCACACTGCTCTGTTGAGAAGATTACAAGATGTAGCAAATGATAGAGGAGGTGCCCACTGAGTTTAATCAGCTGTTTGTGTTCCATTTCCCTTTCTTCACCTGTCCCTGGCCGTTCTGTTTTGAGAGTGTGAATTCTAAGCATTTTCTGTGGATTCATGAAGCCTTTGTGAACATCTTCCATTTCAAGACTGCTATCTTCCTAGTTAACCTGTGGCGGAGAGTGGTATTATTTGATTTTCAAACAGAAATCTCCCTTAAACTGCATAGAGTCTTTGAACTGTCCCATAAAATGGGAATGGATGCTGATGCAGCAGATTTCACATTTGGAATATATGCTGTGCTTGACTATGAGGACACATGCAAGTTTTTGTATGCAAGAAATTGCTTTCTAAACTATTTTGATTATATTTATTGTTGAAACAATAAACCCAGTGGTAGCTTGTGATAGGATTTTGCTTATAGGATTTAGCCCCCACCTGCATACGCTATTCTTCTTGGTGCTTTACCATTCTTTTTTGCTGTAACTAGTCTGCCTAGCATGTCACTAGAAAAATGTACTGGTCAGATCCAGGAGTATTGCACCAGGATATTCAAGTTACTCATGAGTGAGTTTCTTCCGTTCTGTGATTAGGGATGACCCATAATCACTAGTGCTACCAACAGTGTTTTAGCTAGGAATGCTGACAGCCCAGTTGCCCTAGTTGGACTTCAGAACAGGATGGGAAGAGTTTTGTTTTTAAAGGGGTGGGGTGGAGATGGGGAAAGAATGGCTCATGAAATTACCTAAACCGACTCTCTTCTAACAAGTTGATCCTGGAATCTCATGGAACAATTAGGTGGTTTTGTTTTAATGTGTGGGCACTTTGCTGTGCCCAGTTTTGTTAATGCATTTTTTAGCTGTGCAATGTTTTAAATTGAACTCAAGTTCAAGGGGAGGCACTTTTGATAGGGCTGTGAAGCATAATTGTAAAATGCTATTTTAATTTTGCTGTATATTTGCAATGGCACTTTCTGAATGTGAATATTTTTTCAAATGGATGAGACTTTGCTTTTCTGTATTAAAGTGATGATTTTCTATTTATTTGCAAATATGACCTTCCGTAGTTCCTCTGTCAGTAAATGATGGTAAGCTAAAACTAATTCTTTGTGTGCATGCAAGTACTGATGTGGGAAGGAAGGAAAGTTGCTTTTCAGCTGTTCTGTACATGTACATTTTTTCCAAACTCTCAAATCATTTTAAGTACTTTTTCAAAGTCAGGTGGTAGCCATCTTGTTGCCTCACTAGAAAAAAGGTGGCAGCTGTATCTTCCTCGTGCATTTTAATATTTATATTGTTTGGCTTTTAAAAATGGCACCTTAATAGATCTAGATGTAATCAGGATGCCCCAGAAACATTTCTGCTCCTCACAAACAGAAAACCTGTACATACAATAAATCTGGACTATTTACTCTAGACATGCTAGCATGTTTAATGCTTCCTCAGTAGTAGAGTTAGAAAGCTGTTCAGCATATGGGGTGCCCTTCCCTGAGCTTTTAGTAGTGCCAAGTGATGGGGATAATGAGCTCCCCCATTTTTCCCCCCAAATAGCCCTCACCTGGAGTTTGCAGCAGGGTCAAGCCTTACAAAGATTGCAGAAGTAAAGGTGGCAATGGGATGCTAACAGATTTCACATGACACCCTTACTTCTGCTCTGCTGCCGGCATGGCTAAGAGGTAGGAGCATATGTGATTAGACAGAAAGGTAGGGGGCACAATCAAATATCTTTCACAAAGATTAATTTTAATTGTAGAGGAGAGTATCGTTGACCACTAATACAACATTTTATCACTTTTAAGATTTGTTGAACATTTGATAAACAGCTACTTAATATTAACTCCATGTTTTCAATCATTTTTTTGCAGAAAGGATTAGAGTGGAAAATTATGGAAACTGTTAGGATTTAATTTAGGTGGTAAGTTGAATTAAAATAAAAAGCAAGTTACTGGTTAACTTTCATTTTTACGTGCATAACAAAGATGATGAAATTAAACAGCAGTTCTGAGTGTTTCTGTAAAAAGATATTTATGAACTGTCAAATTCTTGTTACAATATTGTAACCTTACTTTGTATGAAGATATTGCAAGTATTTTTCAATAAAGACTATTACCAATAGGTCAGTGTGTATAATATTTGATGTACTTTCCTCTGTGTGCAAAGCAGTAAAGATCACTGGTTTGTCTCTCTTACATAAGAATGTTAGAAATCATTAGCAAACAGAATGGTAGGAGTCATTAAAAAAGGGATAGAGAATATGACAATATCTTATTGCCTCTATTTAAATCCATGGTATCTTGAATACTGTGTACTCAAAAAAGGTATCTTGGCATTGGAAAAGGATCAGAAAAGGGCAACAAAAATTATTAGAGATTTGGAACGGGTGCCATATGAAGAAAGATTTAAAAGACTGGGACTTTTCAGCCTAGAATGGAGGTCCATAAAAACATGACCGGTAAAGAGAAAGTAAGTAAGATAAAGTTATTTACTTGTTCCCATAACATAACTCTGTGGGTCACCAAATTAAATGAATAGGTAACAGGTTTTAAACAAAAGGAAAGCTTTTTTCACTCAGCACACAGTCAACCTGTGGAACTCCTTGCCAGAGGATGTTGTAAAGACTAGGACTTTAACAGGGCTCAAAAAGAATTAGATACATTCATGGAGGTTAAGTCCATGAATAGTTATTAGCTAGAATGTGTAGGTGTCCCTAGTTCCTGGTAAATCAAAGAAAGCTGTCATGGGGTAAGAAAGAGAGACGGTCGTCTCATGGATTGATAACTGGTTAAAAGCCTTTGGTGAGTGACCTTGTCAAATGCTTTCTGAAAATCTAAGTACACTATATCCACTGGATTACCACTGTCCACATACTTGTTGACCCCCTCAAAAAATTCCAGTAGATTGGTGCAGCATGATTTCCCTTTACAAAAGCCATGTTGACTCTTCCCTAACAAACTGTGTTCATCTATGTGTTGGACAATTCTCTTCTGTACTATAGGTTCAACCAATTTGCTTGCTACTGAAGTTAGGCTTGCTGGCCTATAATTGCTGGGGTCGCCTCTGGAGGGTTGGGGTTTATTTTATTTGTTTGTGGTTTATTTGATGAGGAGTTGTGGTGTTTTTTTTGGCATCACATTAACTCCGGCCATGGCACACACATGCACGCGCGCACACCCTGCGTGGCTGGAGCTTCAGCACCAGTTTGCTCTGCTGCAGGAAAAGGGGCAAGCCCTGAACCTTGTGGGCAGGATCAAGGTAAGCAGCCTGTGGGCTGTAGGTTCCCCACTCCTACTCGAATGCATCTGGCTGCAGCCACTGTCAGGAGACAAGATACTGCAGTAGATGGATGATTGATCTAACCCAGTTGGACCTTCTGATGCGCTAGGAAGCATATTTATGTGGCTAAAGCAACAGATTAGTGGCCCTCCCCTAAGTTCCTTCTAAGTTGTGCAGCTGCCTATGTAGTGCCATTGTCACTCAAAGCATTTGTGCAAGGAGAGGATGAGACCTCTCCAGCCCCCAGCCTCATGGCCAGGGGAAGAACAGTCTGAACTGGTGGGTGCGTCCCAGCCCTGGACTTACACCTGCTGCAGCCCCAGTGGCCCAGACATGGACACATACACCCTCCCCACTCAGAGAGCCCTGGATGGCTGAGGCATCCTGGACCCCCGCCTATTGTGATTGAAAGAACCTAAACCCTTGGACTCCCTAAACCCCCCTTACCTTGGCCAAAGCAGCCTGAACTCCTCCCCTGCTGTGGCTGGAGTGACCCAGACCCAGATGTCCTGACCCTGGAACCCAAGCCCACCTTCACACACCTGCATCCTACCCCAAAGCCCACACTTCCAGCCAGAGTCCTTGCTGTCAAAGCCCTGAGCCCTTCATCCCCAGATAGAGCCTCACTCCCGTATCCCAGGCCTGGGCCCCCTGCCATGCTCAGAACCCCACCTGTCCCATCCCACAAGTTTTGTTTTGTGCACCAACATGCAACATCACCTCCATATTGGTGCACATAACAAAATTCATTCTGCTTGAGGGGTGGGAAAAATTAGAGGCAACACTGGTCCAGAACCTTCCCTACTTCTGAAAGAGGTTAGAAAGAACAGAAGAGAATCTATACTTGAAGGTCTTGAGCTTAAAGTCAGCTAGTTACCCCTGTCTGCCATATTGGATGTGTGCTCAGAAATATTTATGTGACTATGCATGTTTACTATTTAATACAAAAAGTGCTACGCTGCCTGGCTGCTTACAGCAACACTGCTCAGCAGCTTATCCCCAAGCAATGAATGTATAGTTCAGAATACCCAGTTCACTGTTAGAACTGTGCTGAGACATTAGTTTTGCTTTTCATTATGAGCCTAGGCTAGGTATAAGTACAAGCTCATATGCTTCATCAGCAGTGCAACATGCAGTCAGGCTGCTATGTGAAACCAAGGAAGAGAGAAGACACTAAAACACACAAGATGTTGGCCAGCAAGGCCACAGTTTGTTAAAAATTAAGCTGAACAGAATAACTTTGCAATTTCTCCAAACAAAGCTTGCCACCTGGAAGTCTGTTATAAGGAAGCGGCTGTAATTGAAGGCTCTTGCACTTTCTACATAACTAACTCAGACTGAGCCTCTTTTAAACAAGAAAAGCTGGTAGGATAGCAGATTTATCCTGATACATATTTTATGACAGCTACACAGCCTTTCATTTTAAAATGGGGGGGGGGTCACAAAATCCCGGCCCAAGGGCCATCCCCAGCCGGAGCAATTGCACAGTCCAGCCCAGGATGCCCAGCAGCTGTGGGGGAGGAGCCTGTTTGTTAGTCCCCAAACCCTTTTTATTTCTGTCATCACCTCACCCTCTCCTTCCCCCATGCCATCCGCTGAGGCGGCGGCTCAGGGGACTCACTGGGTGGAAGGGAGGAAGGTGAGCCTGGTGCGGCGTGGTGGCAGCAGTCAGGCACTCCACTGCACTCGCTGTGGTGGCAGGAGCTGTGAGAAAGCAGAACGCGTGCACTCCATTGCCCTGTGGGGGGCATGACTGCTGGTTCCAGAAGTCTCATCCTCACATGATACGGGTGGGGTGAGGGGAGAGAGGCAGGGTGCTCAGGAAGGGGCATGACTTTGGGGGGAGGGGGAGGTGAGCAGTAACAAACAGCCCTCCTGAGAGTCCCAGGCCAGAGTGTGCACTCGCTCTGGCCAGGGATGGCCTACAGCCTGGGAATTTGAGAGCCCTCATGTAACATTTCAAAACAAGCTGAAGTAAAAGATAATTTAAACATCATGCTAAAAAGCTGGCGAAGAAAAAACTAGTTTTTTGCTGGCTACAAATTTTTTCTTCTTCCCTCCACTTGGTCTTTAGCCAGGGAGCGCACTCAAACTTGACATGTGGCAAAATATAGACCCCTTTTCCTGTTTAATGAAGTGCTTATCAGTAAAATTATGAGAGACACGTACACCCTCAAGTTGTGTCTACATTGGCGCAATCTTGCACAAAAGCAGTTGCTTTTGCACCAAAACTTGCTGCCTGTCTACACTGGCCGCGAGTTCTTGCACAAGAACACTGATGTTCTAATGTATGAAATCAGGGCTTCTTGCACAAGAACTATGATGCTCCCAGTCAGGAATAAGCCCTCTTGTGCAACTGTTCTTGCACAAGAGGCCAGTGTAGACAGGCAACATGAATTTCTTGCGCAAGAAAGCCCCAATGGTTAAAATGGACGTCAGAGCTTTCTTGCACAAAGGCACATGCCAGTGTAGACACTGTTCTGGAAGAGTTTTTGCACAAGAACTCTTTCACAAAAGAGTTCCTGCACAAAATCATGCCGATGTAGATGTAGGGGATATTTCATGCATAGGTTACAGCCTGATGGTAAAACTAGAGTAGCCATTTCCCTATTCTCACAGGCTACGTCTACACTGGCCCCTTTTCCGGAAGGGGCATGTAAATTTCATGAGTCGTAGTAGGGAAATGCGCGGGGGATTTAAATATGCCCCGCAGCATTTAAATAAAAATGTCTGCCGCTTTTTTCCGGCTTTTAAAAAAGCTGGGAAAGAGCGTCTACACTGGCCCCGATCCTCCGGAAAAAGTGCCCTTTTCCAGAGGATCTTATTCCTACTTCAAAGGACGTAGCCTGTGAGAATAGGGAAATGGCTACTCTAGTTTTACCATCAGGCTGTAACCTATGCATGAAATATCCCCTTCTCCGTCAACTCCTACAGCTGACAACCAACTTGATGTTCAATGATACGGTTTAACTTTCCAGGAGACATTTGTGGCATTAAGCTGCTGCTCTAGAATGTGGCTGAATTTGGGCAGGGAAAGAAAATTTTACTTGCCTCTAGCTCAGAAAGGGACAGGCAGGTATCGCTGCTGCACTTTTCAGAATAGTACAGGACACGAAAACAGTGAACACAGGAACATGTTCGAAAGGCCAGCAAGGGAAATAGAGAAGGGAAAATAAAATCTGCAGGCCTCTTTCTCCATATGGCCATATGGGGAAGATACTCCAGAAATCTCAAGTGACTTAGAAACTTAAGTCCCATTTGCAAAATTGTGTTTGAATCACTTACCTTACTTGAAAGAATTTTATCCACTACACTTTTGAGTCCTTATTTATCTTGTACCTCTAAGCAAAAGCACAGTATAAACATGGCAGAAAGGATTACAGATTTTTAATTGGCTCCAAGAGATTAGAGGCAAAAGCATTTTTATTGTTTCAGTTTATTAATGTAGTAAAAGTGGCAAGCCCTGTCCATAGTCCAGCTGCTATGGTAGCTGTGGCTACAGGGAAAGGGACTATGCATTTTTGCAGCACAGAAAAGGAAGGGTTCAAGGTCCAGTCTTACAAACACAGGTGTACACAAGGAACAATCAACAACCCTTCCCTTGAGGCAAGTTACTTATGTGTCTCTGCTAGATAATCAACTAGTTTTTGCAAGTCGTTCCCACAACAGAGCGTGAGGAGGAGGATGGAAAAGAACCTGTTTAAAATAGGAAAGTGTGACCAAGGCCACACAAACTGGGGAGCTATATAAGGGCATTTTAGGAAATGGAAACTGAGATTACTCCATTTCAGCAGTTCTCTCACTGTGGGGTCTTCACCCACAGTTGAAGGTGATTACAGGCC